CAGCTGCTTGTTTAAGTTCTTCTACTTCTTGTTTGGTGGGACATTTTATGACCATGTTGCCATTTCCTGTCATTCTTATGTTTTTTTATGCCTATATTTAATTCTGTAGGATTAATATTTTTCGAAATTTCATCCCTTGTTTTTTGTTCCTGCTGCTTCTGCTTCGGCCGAATAATTAAATCAGGGACCTTAGAATTTTTACTTTTAGAAATTTTTGGTTTCTTTTCAGGAACTTTCCTTCACATGTTGCTACAAGCAACAATAGTGTTTGTAAAGAGTAAATAACTATAATTTGGCTCAATAATTAAAACCTGCATTGAACGATTTTTGCTTCTATTGGCAATTTAGAAATTTTCAATAAGGTAAATGCACTAGTAATTGACACAAAAGAGAGTCTCTCTTATGGAATTTAAATTTATCTTTGGGGACCCAGTAATTGACACCTATTATCCAATTATTGACACCCCAGTTATTGACACATTTTTTTTTTTTTTTTTCTCAGTACATGAGTATATAAAATGAGTTACAATAAGCTACAGCTGCTAGAACTTCATTCCTCTACTCTTTGGAGTAATTTTTTTTTATGTTTTATCAGTAATAAATGAAATTCCAGTAATTGACATCCTGTGTACCAATAATTGACACCCTGTGTACCAATAATTGATACCCATGTCAATAACTATGGAACCAGTGATTTTTTCAGACTCATATGTTGTCAAATATGTTGTGCTCATAATAAGATGTGATCGTTCTGTCAAATATTGCACTGTTTTGCTGTGATTGCGTTAAATTTGTTATGAGATCCATTCATTGACACATCAGTCAATAATTGGTACATGGTCATAATCACTTGATCTAGTCTTTGACACCCACGACAATCTCAGATAATGTGTTTTACTAGTAAATACACATTAAAAAACCTTTCAATCATACTGAAACTCTGCCCTCAAACATATGGAATAAATTAAACATAGACACATTTAGCAATAAAAAAATAATATTCGATTTGTTTGCCAAATCTCTTAATTTTTCTCATGCGACAGGTAACCAGCCTTTTCACATTTTTAAATGACTGGCAGTTATCATCTGATTTCTTTCATAGCTGGTAGAATGTTGCCAAATACTGTATTAATGAAGTTTTTTTTTATCGAGATGGCTCTGGGACGCCGAGTTAGCTTGTTTTGATAACATTTACCTTTACATGTCAATTACTGGAGCACTGTCAATAACTGCATTTGCCTTAACTACTTTTGCTTAAGTTATAAGAGGGGTAAATCAAAGGGTAAATGTGTGGTTCCATAAATTTGCACAACGAAAATAGCACACATCAGAAAAACTAGAGTACCAAATTCGGGCCTATTTAGTGCTAATTTAGTATGAAAAAAAAAAATGTATAACTCTATTTTTAAAAAAATTATGTGTATGTGTGCCAGCTTAAGATTAAGCTGGCACACTCTAGTTGGATAAGGTCGAATTTTTGAAAATCTAGTACCTCATATTTAGTGCTAATTTGGTACATTCATGGCACGCCTGAAAAACTAACAATGATGTATTTATTACGAAATAACCCCGGAAAACTGCTAACTTAAGACTTGAATTAGCACACATACATCGAATCAACCGCGCGAGAACGGAATTCGCATGCACATATTTAGTGCTAATGTAGTACTTCAAAAACGACGACCTGAAACGAACTAGTATCACATCAGCACAGAGCTAACCCAAACTAACCCAAAATAACCCGAACTAACCGAAACTAATCCGAACTAACCCAAAATAACGTCTAAAATTAGCACTAAATGTGTGCTAATTTAGTACTCTAGTTTCATCGCGTCATCGGTGATAATGTTTGTTAACTTAAACACTAAGCCAGCACACAAGTGCTAGCTCTGTGCTGATGTGATACTAATTCGTTTCGAGTCGTCGTTTTTGAAGTACTACATTAGCACTAAATATGTGCATGCGAATTCCGTTCTCGCGCGGTCGATTCGATGTATGTGTGCTAATTCAAGTCTTAAGTTAGCACTTTTCCGGGGTTATTTCGTAATAAAAACATCATTGTTATTTTTTTAGGAGTGCCATGAATGTACCAAATTAGCACTAAATATGAGGTTCTAAATTTTCAAAGATTCGACCTTATCCAACTAGAGTGTGCCAGCTTAATCTTAAGCTGGCACACATGCACGTAATTTTTTAAAAAATAAAGTTAAAAATTATTTTTTTTCGTACTAAATTAGCACGAAATAGGCCCAAATTTAGTACTTCAGTTTTTCTGATGTGTGCCATTTTCGTTGGGCTAATTTTTTAGACCTGATAAATGTGTCTCATCCTGGAAATCGAGAAATAAATTACATATTATTAATGCATCTGGATCATTGTATTATCTTCTCTCGATTATCTTTGAGAAATGATATCCTTATCCAGATAAAAGGAAACTAAATGTTTACATAGAGAAAATGTTATTCCTAAATGTATGTTTCAACTAAGTATTTCATATTATGTTCACTCAAAAATATGTATATTTAAAGTAGAATTTCATTAGTTTCCCTTGAAATTACCATATGACTATGATCTTGAGACTGTCGGAAATTGCTATTTTTACGCTGAAATTGTGTATGCAACTCAGAATTCTAATTTTACACTTCTTTGATTCCAGGCTATTGAATTTTTATTATTTTTGTATTCCAGGTTTTCTTCATTTTCCTCTTCCAGTGTGAATTAATTTTCTGTATGGTTTTATTAAGAAGAAAACTCAACAGCTTGGAATAGAGAAAAAAATTTGGATAAAGAGAAGCATGAAATGCTATAATTTCTCTATTTCAGGCTTTTGAATTTTTCCCTTTTTTTCTGTATTTCCTCCTCTCTCAGAATTACCTCGATAATCCGACCATGCGTTAATCCGAACCTCCGCTAATCCGAACAGCGTACGCTCGAAGGCATAATCCGAACAGATCTTGATAATCTGAACAACTGCTGAAAACCGTATTACGCTAAGCGCGCTACGTAAAATTTAATATATAATAATGTTCTCAAAGCCGGATCAGAAGAATCCGAAGAAGAATCTGAAGAAATCGTACTGACCAACGTGACACACAGAGAACCAGTAAAATGTTTTCAGGCTTGTTTAAAATGAGCAGAACAAAATTTTGAAACAGCTGAGAACATTTTTATTCTGAAGCTCGGTTTATTCATTTTCCTGGTACCTAACTAGCTGCAAGATAAAATAACCGTTTTATAATTCTATTGGTTGGTGGATAACTGGCCGACCAATGGGATTACAGATTGCCTTTTTATCCGTCAGATTACATACCTGACAACTTATCAGAAGGTGAATAAACCGGCTCTCAAAGAAATGAAAAAGAAGGCGGAAGTGGGAGAAGCAGCCAGTATGAAGCAAAAAAAATTACATTCCATAATTGTTTTACTCATCTAACCTAAGTTAAACTCAGAGTTAATTACGTACATTTATATTTGTCTTGAAAAATAAAGCTTATTTTTGATTATTTGCATTTTTATGGGAAATTTACCACTCATTTTGATAATCCGAACAATCGGTAATCCGAACTGACCTTAGCAATAATTAGTTCGGATTATCGAGGTTGTACTGTATTGAACTCAATCTCCATCAGACTAATTAAAGGCAATTCAATTTTCTACAAACCTGGTAATTAAGATTTCAATTTTGTTTCAACAGTTTTGCACCTAAGAAGGTTCAAAACTGAATTTATCAAACATTGGAAATTTTCCAAAAATGACCCTGAGACAGTTTTTGCCTCACAAATTCCATTAATTTTAATCCGATTTCAGTGTAATTAAGCTCTAACTAAAGCCAAATACATTTTCTACAAACCTATTAATTAAGATTTTAATTTGGTTTCAACAGTTTTGCAGCTGAGAAGCTTCAAAATTGAATTCATCAAACATTGGAAGTTTTCCAAAAATTACACTGAGATAGTTTTTGCCTCACAGTCCCATCAATTTTAATCCGATTTCAGTGTAATTAAGCTCTAATTAAAGCCAATTAAATTCTCTACAAACCTATTAATTAGGATTTCAATTTAGTTTCAACGGTTTTGCACCTAAGAAGCTTGAAAATTAAATTTATCAAACATTGGAAATTTTCCAAAAATGACACTGAGCCAGTTTTTGCCTGACAGTTCCATTAATTTTCCTCTGATTTCAACGCAATTAGCCTCTAATTGAAGCCAATTAAATTCTCTACAAACCTATTGATTGAGATTTGAATTTGGTTTCAACAGTTTTGCACCTGAGAAGCTTCAAAATTGAATTTATCGACCATCGAATATTTTTCAAAAATTACACTGAGACAGTTTTTGCCTTAAAGCTCCGGTAATTTTCATCCCATTTCGGTGTAATTAAGCTCCAATTAAAGCCAAATAAATTCTCTACAAACATATTAATTAAGATTTCAATTTAGTTTCAACAGTTCTACACCTGAGAAGTTTTAAAATTTAATTTATCGAACATTGAAGATTTTCCAAAAATGACACTGAGACAGTTTTTGCCTCACAATTCTATTAATTTTAATCCAATTTCAGTTTAATTAAGCATCAATTGAAGCCAATTAAATTCTCTACAAACTTATTAATTAAGATTTTAATTTAGTTTTAACAGTCTTGCACCTGAGAAGGTTCAAAATTGAATTTATCGAACATTGAAGATTTTCCAAAAATGACAGTGAGACAGTTTTTGCCTTACAGCTCTGGTAATTTTCATCCGATTTCATTGTAATTAAGCTCCAATTAAAGCCAAATAAATTCTCTACAAATCTGTTGAATAATCTTAGATTTTGGATTGATATTTGGCAATTTGGTAGGAATAAGTTCTGTATGACTGGGTTTTTGACACAAAAAGCCCACAGCCCACTGGGTTTTTGTCAATATTGATGGTGGGTTTTTGTGTCACAAACCCACTGAGTTTTGTTTATGTTCTGAGAAGTAATTTTCATCTGTATGTATTTGTTCATTATTCGTTTTCAGACACAGTTTTTCCTCCAACACAATTGCAATACGAATGACGCTCAAAAAAAGTACAACTCAAGAGCTGCCCAGCTTTATAGAGAGAAACTCCAGCAAGCTGCATTGAATTCTTTAAAAAACAATGAACAGGTAATTAATTGTTAAGTTTTGATTAAAATCACTCATACAAATTAATTACCACAATCATTATGTGTGCTTATTAACTTTGATTTTTAGCTGCTTATCACTCAGGAAAAAGTGGAACCGGAGCCAGTCAAAGAACTAGATTTTTTTGAAAATCACGAAGATTTTATTGCTGGCGACTTTCCAGAAAAAGTAATCATTTTTAATTTTCTAAATTCACTACATTTTTAATTGTATCATATATTTCTTTATTGCAGGATATTGAAGTTATTAAACCAAAAATCCAAGAGAAACAAACCCCTCTTAGTAGCAGTGCAAACCTAGTCACTGAACCTAAAAAGTCAGCACTTGGTGCACGAAAAGCTCCAACTAAGAAATCCACTGTAAGAAGGCCCTTTTACATTTAAAACAAAATAATAATTAATTAATGTAAATTTTAGTTAGGAGCAAAACGTACTGGTTTAGGTGGCCTCGGAGCCACCAAAGTCAAAACTGACTTTGCAGCTTTGGAAAGAAAAGCTGAACTTGCTGCAGAAAGGGAAGAACAAGGTCGAATTGAATCAGTGCAAGCCATAGCACGGGCAGCAGAAGATGCTGAACGTGCTGAAGCAGCTTTAAGACTTGCATATAGGTAACTTTAAAAATTATAACAAAATTTATTACTTTATTCAATGTTTTTTTTTGAAAGGGAAAGAGAAGAAACTGTAAAAAATGTCCCTGCAGAAAAAGCAGCTCAAAGTGAAAGATTAGGCATGGGCGTTACTAAAAACTCAAGAAGCGGAGTATCACACTCTGCCTTTGGTGATATGCAAGCTATTGAACAGGTAAGCAACTAAAATACCTACACACTAGAGTCTTAATTTTTCAATTTTTCTCTAGGAAAAACCAGCTTCATCCTCTAAAACCCTAGACACTTTAGGAAGACTTTCCCTAAACGACAGCCCTGATTATTTTGACGACTACATAAACGGCACTGGTGTTTATTCATCATCTTCTCTAGCCAAAGACAATTGGGTGGTGGTCGATGATCCTCCGGAACGCGAACGTCGCCAGCCAATAGAAAGCGTCAGCGAGAAATTACGGAGGGCACCAAGAAATCAACCCTCTGAAGTAAGCAACAGCGACGAAGCTCAAAGAAAATTTGGCAACGCCAAGGCGATTTCTTCCGCTCAATATTTTGGTGACAATAGTATGGATTCTGAAACTAAAGCTACACTCAATAGATTCCAGGGATCCAATAGCATTTCTTCTGCCGAATTTTTCGGAAGGAATGAGGAAAGGCCTGGAGCAGGGTCTGCTCATATGCCTGCTTATGATTTGGAGGAAGTTAAGGAAAGTGTGCGTCAAGGTGTGACTAGGGTAGCTGGAAAATTGGGATCTTTGGCCAATGGACTTGTGACCTCGATACAGGTAAGAATCAAAAATAATTCATTTTCATTTGGCTCATAAGTTTTAAATGGAATTGGTTTTGAAGAATGATACTTTTTGATTTTTTTATGTGAAAATCCATGCCATTTAATTGTTTTTTGTAATAGGGAGGAGTAGAACGACTTTTTTGGATTTTTGCTGTTTTATTAGTTGAATTATTCCTTCCTATTGCTGAAATTCTAATTTGTTGTTGCACCAGTCTCATTCATTATATTGTTCAGAGTGAGAATTTTCTCTCTGAAATTCTTTTTTCGTGAATTCTACAAATAATTTTTGCACATAAATATGATAAATTCCAACATGCTCAATTTTCAAAAAAAAAAGTAGATTGAGTCACTAAAATCATTGACAACTTTGTAAAAAAGTGTGGAGAATATTTCAGAATGATAGGGTGTCTATTCAAGAAATTGTTAAATTTTCAAAACTGTGAAGTTCCAAAACTATCAAAAGTGTTTAGGTAAGTTCTGAAGAAATTGTCACATTTTCATTATAAATCCTACTATAAACAGTTTGAATCATGTCAATCCACAATGCTTTTGTACAGGGTGGTCCAATTTGAACAGTTTTAGACTATGTTGCAATATCAACAGTCACTACTGAATTTACTGGACGTTGTTCCGATATTATTTTCACTATACTCATTCAGTAGGTACTGAATGACTTCTAGAGTACGCTTTTGAAATCGGAACGGCAAATGACAGTAAAATCAGCACTGTAAATCCAGTACTGGCAGTTGATTGAAACATAGCCTCAATAGGGAACGTCAAGTTCTGAGCGAGATACACACTATGAAGTTCAAACATGAAATCTTAAAAAGTTGATTTTGAGGAATTTTTCTTGTTGTTTTTCATTGGATTAATTTGAAATTTCTGTATTATATGCTTTTAGTCAAGGGGTAAACCACCCACCCAAACTGCTTGCAAATTCCCTGCAAATGCCTGTTACAAATTCCATAAAAATCTATTTCTATTATGCTGAGTGTTAAAACAATAAATTCACCCAATTTCTCATAAATTCCTCCAATTTCCCATAAATTCCTTCAACTTCCTCACATATTCCTCCAAATTTCCCACAAATTTCTTCAAATTCCCCGCAGTTCTGGCAAAGTATTCCTAGGTGAGTTACTCCTTGAAGGTGAATGATCAGAAGAATATTTTCATTTTTTCCAAAATGACATTGAACCACATTTTACCTGACATCTTTGTTAATTTCAATCCGATCTCAATGTAATTACGCTTGAAATTAAGCTAATTAAATCCTTTACAAATATCTACCAAGTATTTTCAATTCAGCTTCAATAGTTTCGTAGCTGCAGAGCTTTAAAGCCTTTCGACTTTGATTCTTATCAAGGTGAGTTCGTAAAAGCAATTTTTTATGAACCCTCCCAAAGTGAGGGGATTCGTATTTTTCATATCTTGCTCAGAAATTGACATCCAAATTGAACCACCCTGTATACAAGACAGTATGTATTTTAATTCTTAAAATTGAAATCTAAAATCAATTTTTATTCTAGGATAGATACGGATACTAGCAGGAAGCCGATTGGCTGGAAAATGCCGTTACTTGATTTCTAGGAAACTGTTGTACTTTTTGAAAGCTAGTAGTTAATTAGAGGTTTCTATTTGTATCTGCGACAAATAAAAACCTCAGATAATACATTTATTTTATTTATAATATTATGACAAAAAATCACTGTTATTTTCATTGTTGGAATATGCCTTTCATTACATAATAAACGTCACTACAGTTTTATATTTTCTATACTTATTTTATATTTCTTAGTAGCTGTAATTATATAAATAAATAATATTATTGTAATTAATAAGTGCCCATTATTATTATTATTATTATATTGTCTTGAGTTCAGTTGCTTGTTAGAATAATTAATATGTACAAATAAAAATAGCTGTAAATAAATAAATAAAAAAAAGGTGCGAGACATAAATATTTATATATTTTTTTCCCACACACACAAAACTTAACCTAAACATTAAAAAAACTATTAATACTACATTGTTATATTTTTTGATTTTTGTATACAGGGGGCGAAATTCTGCCCAATGATTTTGCAGAATCTTTTGGCTCTTCCTTACTGCTATAAAATACCAAATCACTATCCCTTCGGAACATTTCAAATTTTTCATTCAAATGTTGCAGCTCCTGTATAGATGTTGCTCTACAGGAAGCGGTTTCTTCTGGCACATTATCTTCATCTACTTCCTATAAAAAAAATTATCTTAATGTTTTAAAAATTTAAAACAAACATCTTACTTGAATTTCAGAAAAAGTTATCGGCTGTGTTCTATATCTCGATGAGCCACCTTTTCTTTTTTTTGGTACTACCCTTCTGCGTAGTCTCGATAAATGTTCTGGGTAAACAGTGTCTGTGTCTGAAAAAAATAGGAATACCAACAACTTTCTTAGACAAATATACAGTGTGTTCACATATGGGAAACTTTTTTATTATCAATTTTACGAGAAAAAGTTATTCTTTATAAAAGTTTCTGCTTCTTGAAAAAATAATATTAAACTACCAAAACTTGAAATAGCATGTATAGGGTGGGCAAAAAATAGAAAAATATACAAGGTGTTTCCTAAGCACGGTTTGTAACTTCAGGATGTGATTCCTTACGATATTCTAAGAAAAAGAGTTCCCATAAATATGTGTCTGGAAATGTGTAGTTTCTGAGATACAGGGTGTCAAAGTTTTAGAGAAAAATCATTTTTTTAGCTCAAAAATCCCTTTTTCAACTTTTTTTTTTCAAATTTGGCAGGAAAGGTATCTTTTGACTGTAATATGACTGAAAAAAATATCGCAGGTTTTAAAAAATAGTGACGTGCTATTTTTTTTCTACTTTCACCAAAAAACCCTTATCTGTTTCTATTTTCTGACCACCCTGTACATGCTATCTCAAGTTTTAATAATTTTATTTCCTACTGTATTTACTGTATTTTGTCCATTTTTATAAAGGAATAAACCATAAACTAAAATTTCCATTTAATAATATAATATAATATATTCTGACAAGTTATTTAAGTACAAATGAGTGAATTGTTGCGGAACTTATGGGTGGACCTCTGCGGGACGAGCGCAGCGAGTTCCGCAGCCATCTATTCATCAATATGTTGTTTAATTACAATACTAACTTGACTCACTCAAATGACAGTTATTGTGGTTAGTTTAAAAACAAAAACTATACGTTTTAGGTGAATGTCTTACTTAAACAGTTCAACAGTATATTGGTGAGTAGATGGCTGCGGAACTCACTTATTTGTACAGGGTATTTTTTTATATTGACACCCCACCTACAGCGTTTACCTTGACAGGTAGAAGAAAGGTGTAAATACAAAAGTTGTACAGTTTTGGCTAAATTTTTAGAATCCATGGTCAGAAACAAAATTTAAATGTCAGAAATGCGAAATTTTGCATGCTTCCAGCTATATTTCATTCTATATTTTTGAAGAGCATAATACCCCGAAAATAATTTTCGGTCTAGCCAGAATTCGAACCAGGTACTCCATCAACGTTTCCCATGTACTCTAGCGCGTTAACCCACACGACCACCACCGTTGCCTTGCCTTATGAGATGTTTATACAGGGTTGTCGTTATGCATGGAAACGGTCTGATATTTCAGAACCGACTCGAAAAAAAATTACAATATTTCCTACCTGGGGGTTTTTGGGAATGCCCGATTCAATGGTGGTATTTGCAATGTTGCCAAGTTTACCGTTCTTAAGATGTCATATGTAACTTGATTTTTTTAAATGGATGCTCCCCTTTATTTTTATTGCAATTGATTCAGCGTCCCAACATTACTAAAACCCCCAAATGCCAAAACTCCATTTTATTTGATTTTGTGAGATATGGCAACACAGATTTTTTGTTGAAATGTATGGAAACAGTTTCGTATTTCAGAAAATACTCTAGCAAAATGTACAATATTCCCTACCTGGGGTTTTTTAGGAATGCTCGATTCAATGGTGATATTTGCAATGTTGCTAAGTTTACCGTTTCTAAGATGCCGTATGTAACTGCCCGTAGGGGTATCCATTTAAAAAAAAAATCAAGTTACATACGGCATCTTATAAACGGTAAACTTGGCAACATTGCAAATACCACCATTGAATCGGGCATTCCCAAAATCCGCCAAGTTGGGAATATTGTACATTTTGTTAAAGTCTTTTCTGAAATACGAGACTGTTTCCATACATTTTAACAAAAAATCTGTGTTGCTATATTTCATGAACCAAGTAAAATAGAGTTTTGGCATTTAGAGGTTTAAGTAATGTTGAGACGCTAAACAAAACAATATTCTGTCATACAAGTTTAACTGATTTTGGATTTTGTTGATACTAAATTGATGAAAGAACATTGTGCTGAGTAGAAAATAAAGCATTGTATGCACCACGGGGATTTTAAGATTATAATGCCCTTCAAGCGAAATATATCCCTCGGGCTAGTTTCGCTTTCGGGCATTATAATCTACATAATCCCCTTGGTACATAAATAGCTATTATTTCCTACTGAACTATTATAACCATATAATACCTGGGTTACGATAATCTTAAAGCAGGGTGTGACAGGGTCTTGTTAACTCCCGCGCGGGAGATATGAAATCCTTAACAGTACTCCTGTCAATATTGTCAACTGTTATTCTCAATCGTGAAAATCCATGAGTGAATCCCCTGTGCCTGTGGGATATGAGACTTATGGGATTTTGTCGATGAAAACAGTAAATCTATAATTTATTATGTGAGGATAATCCGAAAAGTACTGTTTTTTTGGACGAATAGACAAGATTCCAAATTCCAAGGCAAGGCTTAGCCGAGGCCTGGATGTCTACGAGTCCAAGAATACACTTTCCTGGCGTATTACGTACACCATTTTTTTTACCGGATGCACTTCCCGTACTACGTACTACGAAGGCATAAAAGTGCCACATATAAAAAAAAAATGATTCACTTCGACTTTGAATGTCGAAACTTCGAGAAAAAAGTTGAAATTTCGAAGAAAAAGTTGAAATGTCGACTTTGAAGTCGAAGTACAAAAAATGTCGACCTTTAAAGTCGAAGTACCAAAATTTCAAAGTCGTACCAACCAACACAGTAGCAGTCGGGAATATCTCTAAGACAAAAAATACTATCGGGAAAATCTGGAATACATCAGGGGATTGGCACTTTTTGAGTCATTTCGCCTCCCTTCTTTAGAGGGGGTGGTTATGACAGAATTATTTTGTCTATGGGTAGTCGAAACTACTAGTTTTGAAAATATGCAAAACATCGATATCTCAAAAACTAATTATTCGCCCCCCTGAAAGACCAGGCGGGTGACTCAAAAAGTGTCTCATTTCGGTTTCCCCTCTAATCCCCCAATACGAAATTTTGTGGTACTTCGACTTTAAAGTCGAAATTTTTGGTACTTCGACTTCAAAGTCAAAATTTCAACTTTTTCTTCAAAATTTCAATTTTTTTTTCGAAGTTTCGATATTTAAAGTCAAAGTGGTATAATTTTTTTATATGTGGTACTTCTACCGCCTTCATACTTCCCAGACTAGGCCGGAAAGTAATCACTTCCTGGCCTTAGTGATCACTGGAAAAGACATACTTTCCTAAGTAAAACGCGTTTGGAAAGTATGTACTTTCAGAACGGTTGCCGTGCTAAAAACCTTGTATAAAATATTTTAGGTAGGTACTTGTTACTTGTTACAAAAATAGCTATTGTCTGTTAGCCCAGCCCTCCAAAAATGCCTCGCCTACGAATTTGCTATGCGCCATTTTGCATATAACCGTCCATATGGTGCAGGGGGACCGCTGTATTCTTGTACCAGGGCTCGGTTTTAACTTGCTGACACAAACTTTGCCTTGGGGTATTAACACCCTCATAATTTCCTTGATACATAAAGCAGAAACTTTTATAAAGAATAACTTTTTTTCATAAAATTGATGATAAAAGAGTTTCCCATGTGCTGCTCACTTAAGTGGACACACTGTATAAAGAAATATGTGATAGGTACAGGGTATTTTTTTATATATTGACACCCCACCTACAGCCTTTACCCTTACAGGTGAATAAAAGGTGTAAATACAAAAGTTGTACAGTATTGGCTAAATTTTTAGCCAATACTGTACTCCAACATATTTGGTTCTAAAAATTTTAAAAATACTAACAGAGAAACCAAGTATATGCTTTTCAGATATTATTGGCGAAATGTCATTCTTTGAAAGTTGACAGGTTGACCCTCGTATAATAATGACAGTATATGTCAAATTCCAGACAGTTTGAAGTGTGTTTTACATAGTGTCGCGGTATAAAATTCTCTGGCTTATCTCGCGAATCAAATTTGACACATTTTTCAATGGTGCAATATATAAACGGAACCTAAGTATTTTGCATACCTGCAAAATCTATTGACAGCTTTTAAAATTCGGCATTGTCAAATTTATTTCATATTCAAGATGCACAAAATAATTTCACAAAAAATAAGAGAAATAATAAAATGTTACAGCTATATCGAAAAAAACAAACCAGGAGGTTTTTCAGGGACTACAAATTGAAGCTTAAGTACCAGATATATTTGAGGTAGGTGTGGGTAGGTAGGTATAGTTCAAATGTAGATGTAAAGCCAGTTTTTACAACCAGCAATCAATATTTTTGTTGGACCAAACCCGAAAAAAAAGTTACTGTAAAAACCTATTTAAGCTGTTAATGCCCGATTGCACCGTCTCTCTTAACCGAGGCTTAGAGATAACTATTCCTTAAAGTGACATATTTTCCCATGCAGAACTCTCAATTTAAGGGAGAATTATCGTTAAGCCTCAGTTAAGAGAGATGGTGCAATCAGGCATAAGCTAATCAAATAAACTTACTACATAGTTACCCAATCTTTTTTTTTTAAATCAATTTGGAAAAATATATTGGAATTGAATCTGCTCAGATATTTCACACATTCTGGCAACTCGGCTTTCTGTTTCATAACCCTGAATTTAAAAAAATACTTTGTCATCAAATGTCATTATTATACGAGGGTCAACTTGTCAAATTTACAAGAATGACATTTCGCCAATAATATCTGAAAAGCATATACCTTAAATTTTACCTGCAGTTTTCACCTATGTAGGTAGAATGGTTCACAAAATCAATAGTAGGATTTCTGACATTCAAATTTTGTTTCTGACCATGGTTTCTAAAAATTCAGCCAAAACTGTACAACTTTTATATTTACACCTTTCTTCTACCTGTAAAAGGCTGTAGGTGGGGTGTCAATGTATAAAAAAACAACCTGTACAAATAAGTGGATTTTTGCGGAACTTATCGGTGGACCTCTGCGGGACGAGCGTAGCGAGTTCCGCAGCCATCTACTCACCAATAGACTGTTGAACTGTTCAAATAAAACACTCACCTGAAACATGTAGTTTTTGAACTAATGAGAATAACTGACATTTGAGTGAGTCAGGTTAGTATCGTAATTAAACAACTTATTGATGAATAGATGGCTGCAGAGGTCCACCCATAAGTTCCGCAACAATTCACTCATTTGTACTTGATGCCCTATATTTGGTTCTATATTTTTGAAGAGCACAATTTCCCGATTCCAAAACTATATAGTTTGTCTATATTTGGTTAAGCCATCTCCAACATATTTGGTTCTAAAAATTTTAAAAATACTATCAGAGAAACCAAGTACCTCAAATTTTACCTGCAGCTTTCACCTGTACAGGTGGTTCACAAAATCAGTAATGGGATAGTATTTTTATAGTTTTTGGAGCCGAATATATGAAAGACTGTTCAACCAAATATAGACAAACTATATATTTTTGGAATCGGGAAATTGTGCTCTTCAAGAATATAGAATCAAATATAGAGCATCCCATTTGAAAAAAGCTGAAAGCATGCAACATTTCACATTTGTGACATTCAATTTTTGTTTCTGATTATGGATTCTAGAAAGGACCCCCCAATATTTAAATGGAAATTGGTTACCCGTGATATTTGGATGAAATTTAAATATGTTATTGGCGAGGGGTAAACCGCTGAGAAATATTTGCACCCTAATTCCCAGGATGGTAACTAATTCCTCTAATTCCCCTAATTCCCTTCTAATTTCCCTGATATTTCTAATTCCCGATCTAATTCCCTTCTAATTCCCCTAATTTTACTAATTCCCTACTAATTCACCAAATCTATCACAAAATGGTGTAGAATAAATCAAGAATATTTAGATGTTTGCACTATTACATGTTAAAATAAAAAAGCTGGAAAAAATACATGGGTAGCTTCTGTTTAGTCGGTGGTTTAGTCCTTTTCATTGTCAAGGTCGGAATTTTTGGGAGGTGATTTCTCCAATATTTTCCGACGTGTTTTCCTTGTACTGCCTATAAATCTCTTTAATCAGTCAATACTTACCTACTCTTCCGTTAAACTGATCTGAAAGCCAGCAGCACAATGACTTTTTAAGGATTGGAGAATTTTTACCAACAATGATGAAGTTTATACAACTTGTTTCCAAAGTATTACATTCGTGATCTTTATAAGAAATTTCCAAGTTTTTTTTTTTTTTTTGGAAATTAAGTCCATGACTATATCGCCCTCATTACTAGCGTCATTTGTGTTTGCCACATCTTGGTCATTTTCATTTTCTTCAAGGTTTTCGTCAACTTCAACATCGCCCTCCTCTATCTCTATGTTTTCCTGTGTATATCCGATATTTTGTGTTCGTTTTATTGAAGGTCCCTGCATATATCTCTAATCGCTTTCTTTAGCATTGAGACCGAATTGTCTCATATTCTCTATGACATTTTGTTTCTTCAACTGTAGGTAGCTTTGATATCAAATTGAGAATTTCTTCTTTACATGGTAGTGTTTGTTCTGGCATTTTTATTCCATCAGGTTCTAAGAAACAAGCAGATACGCATATTTGTTCAAATATTTGTGGTGTCTTGTACATAATTCTTCATTTTTTTTCACTACTGCAGTGGCACCACTCCTACTCTGGAACTGGCAAAGAATGGAGTAGTTCTGTATCTTCTGGGATTGTTTTGTTTTTTTCTTTTTATTCAGGAGCTAAATGAGACATCAAATTTATTTTTTTATTAATTTAAATGCATATCTCTTAGAAGGCGATTATCCGTCTGAGGGAAAATCCCATAATTGTGATGCCAAATTTCTTAGCTTTCTCCTTCATCCATTCCCATCTCAAAGTGACCTGCTCAGTAGTCAATGAATTATCAGTTCCGAATAAGGACAGACAGTATGTCGATGTCCCAGCATGTACCGGTTGAGCTAGTATTAGATAGGCATATACTACTTGTACTCCAGTTTGAATATATGTCTTGATTGCTTCAGCGAAAGTGGCAGGAAATGTACCTTGTTGACTCAGTCCTTCCAGGAATCTATTCAGCATAGTTAGAACTAGTACAATTAAATCAAGTTAAATCAGGCACAGATTCATCAGTGTTTTAGACAGTTTCTATTTCACTTATGTTCTCCAAAAGTTCCTCAGCTAGTTCATTATTTCCACATACTTACTAGAAGATTCTCTTAACGGAATTTCAGTTCATTGTAAACAAAATGCAATAAATGCATTTCCTTTCAAGAAAAATTATAAAATAAATAATATAAAACATATTGATGAAATCCATTTATGTTTCATTGGATACACTGGATCCCTAAAAGTTCTATGTGATGCGACGTTGACTGATTTGGTTTCTATAATTTCCCATTAATTCCACCATTCTCTTACTAATTCTCTGAATTTCCCGAATTTCCCAACTAATTCCCCAAATTCCCTGACTAATTCCCATAATTTCCCAGTAATTTCTATAATTCCTCAATAATTCCTCTAATTCCCCTCTAATTTCTTTCTAATTCCTGATGACTGTACACCAAAATTTTCTTGCGGTTAACCCCTCGGTTATTGGGGATGCCGTAAGCAACATTTTTTACCATGGACACAACCCTGTATATATGACAGGTGAGGCGTGATTAGCTGTCAATTATTGGAATCTTATATCCAAAAGCAGAGTAACTATGGCAGATTTTGATGAACAAAATATCTATTTCTACTATGTCGACCAAGTTAAGTCGAAAAATGTCAACCATTTTGACACCTGTCAAAACCCTGCCAAACGGCAGCACTCATCTTTTCCAGTTTTCAATATTTTATGATGTCATCTGACATTTTTAACTTGTATGTAAATTCTGAATTCAAAAATTGAAAAAAAAAAATGACAGCACTGTCAGAACCTGTCATTTGTTTTAGTAGAAAAAAATACTCTTATCTGGTTCTTTCTCGTTAAGGTAAAGTTTGTTTCACCAGGGTTTGTACTTGCCACCAGCATTTGTCTTCCTTGTTTAACAAATAAAAATTGACTGAAACAAATCAATGACGTCAAAAACGTTCGTCGGTTCTTAAACCAGACGTCATTAATTTTAATTTGTCAAAAAAATTGAATGTGTCATATGAATTAATCTATGACAACCCTTTTTTGTCAAGTTTCAAGGTCAAGTATGAACCCTGGTGAAACGAACTTTAGTTTATTGGTGATAAAACATTGAAAAAAGTTCATGCACGTCACATTTTGACAGCTGTCAGAATCTGTCAATAGCTTTAATTCAAAAAAGAATCAAATCTAGTTCTTTTCCAATTTGTCAAAATCACATCATTGTAGATTTCATTTGTGAGTGTCAAAATGTTTGAGTATTTTAATGATTTAATTATAGTACTGAGTATTATAATTATTTCATTAAAGTACTCAAAAAAAAATCGCAGGCACCTATATAAAATCCTTTATACTAAAACTACGTACTTTAAAATGAAAATTGACATCTCTGTCAAATCTGAAACCTGCGTATGATGTTTTTTTATGCGTTATCATAAATAAGCCCAACTTAATTTGGAAAAGAACTAGATTTGATTCTCTTTTGAATTAAACCTATTGACAGATTCTGACAGCTGTCAAAATGTGACGTGCATGAACTTTGTTCAATGTTTTATCACCAATAAACTACCTTAAAACGAGAAAGAGCCAGATTAGAGTATTTTTTTTCTACTAAAATGACAGGTTTTGACAGTTCTGTCATTTTTTTTTTTTAATTTTTGAATTCAGAATTTACATACAAACTAAAAATGTCAGATGACATCATAAAATATTGAAAACTGGAAAAGATTAGTGCTGCCGTTTGGCAAGGTTTTGACAGGTGTCAAAATGGTTGACATTTTTCGACTCAACTTGGTCGACTTAGTAGAAATAGATTTTTTGTTCATCAAACTCTGTCATAGTTACTCTGCTTTTGGATATAAGATTCCAATATTTGACAGCTAACCACGCCTCACCTGTCATATATACAGGGTTGTGCCCATGGTAAAAAATGTTGCTTACGGCATCCCCAATGACATATTTAAATTTCATTCAAATATCACTGGTAACCAATTTCCATTTAAATATTGCGGGGTGCTTTAGCCAAAACTGTACAATTTCTACCTGTAAAGGTAACGGCTGTAGGTGGGGTGTCAATATATAAAAAAAAAAAAACACCCTGTACCTATGAGAATACCAACATCCCAGGAGAAAAATCAAGAAGGAATTAAATTATTCTCGGTTTTTGCTTCATGAAAATTTGGTATTTTACACCTTTTCCAGGGAAAAAAACCCAAATTGAGTCTTAACATGGCAATTCTTGACTGCATTTATCACATTACAAAAAATCCCAATTCCTTTGTCCTTGTGAAATTTTCAAAAAAGCTTTGAGAATATTTAAAAAAAATATCCAGGAAAAAAATCAAGATCAAATTAGCACAATAAACTGTACACAATTTATTTTTGATTTGCCAGAGACGCAAGTTAAATTACACTGTTCCATTTATATTTTGATTTTAATCGCAAAACATGTTCAATATTCCAAAAATTGCACAATAAATGGCTATTTTTAGCTGAATTCAAAATAGGTCACTTACTCGACAAATTAGGATTTGATCCAGAAGGCATTTTTATTATTATTTTAATCACAATATAATTCACTATTAATGTCCAATCTACATCAACACAAAAACGTACGCTACGTGTAGGTATTTTAAAATAGTTTTTCAACACAGGAAAATGATGCTGGGAAAGTGGGAAATCGACTGTTCGGGCTCGCGCCCGATGTTTTTCTAAAGCAAAAATTTAACTGCCTACATGTGTTTATTGAGCAAAAAAATTATTATTTCGTGGAACATTTTTTGTTTGTTTTGGTTGGCTATTACTTTATGGATTTTCCAGCGAAAACAGAAACACAATATTTTTGTGAAATAACTGTATATTATAAATTATAAAAGGTAACTTACGTTTTACATTTTTTTTTTTAGTTTACAAGTCAAAATGAAAAAACATTACATAATTTTTATAAAGAAATATTGTCAAGACACATGCTCACATAAATCATGTACTAAATATAATTGTTTAATGAGCTACTAATCTTTGGCTAAAAAATCTAAAAACAAAAACTTTGGTCAATCACACAATAATATATTGAGGACGAATACAATATTAATAAGTATTTTATTTATTGTATTCGCTTATTTTTTGTAATAAATAATTATGTACATTTTTAATAAATAAACTACATCCTAGTTCTGGCACTATAGCAACTTTTTTTAAATAAAACAATTAATTAAAATCACAATATTATAGGCAAACTTATAAAATTATTATACGAGTGGGCAGTGTTTTTGAATAATCTAAAATAATTGCTAAAGTGAGTTGGTGAGTTTTTATCCCAATTTAATAATATACAGGGTGTCACTAATTCGGCATAGGGATCTCAGTGATCGGTTAAATTGGGACAAAATTACAATTTTTCTCCTCTACAATATGGCATTATCAAATTTAAAATCCGACGTTTCGTCTTTGTGCCACCTTTTCGTAGCCTTGCCAGAAAAAATTGAGATTTTATATTTGGATTTTTATTGAAAGATTCCAGTGTAAGCTATAAAAACTGAATTAGTTAGCTTTGGGTGCGTTTTTGAATTTTTTTCAAAAATGACAGTAAGACAGTTTTTGCCTTACAGCTGCTTTAATTTCCATCTGATTTCAACTTAATTAGGCTCAACTAAAAGCCAATTAAAGTCACTACAAACCTGTTGATTAAAATTTTAATTTGGTTTCAACAGTTTTGCACCTGAGAAGCATGAAAATTGAATTTATCAAACATTGAAAATTTACCAAAAATGACACTGAGGCAGTTTTTGTCTCACAGCGCCTTCAATTTCCATCTAATTTCAATGTAATTAGGCTCAACTTAAAGCCAATTAAATTCTCTACAAACCTGTTAAATAAGATTTCCATTTGGTTCCAACAGTTTTGCACCTGAGAAGCTTCAAAACTGAATTTATCAAACATTGAAAGTTTTCCAAAAATGACACTAAGACAATTTTTGCCTTATAGCTCTGTCAATTTCCATCTGATTTCTACGTAATTTGGCTCAACTTGAAGCCAATCAAATTCTCTACATACCTGTTGATTAAGATTTTGATTTGGTTCCAACAGTTTTGCACCTGAAAAACTTCAATATTGATATTAGCTCTGTTCCAACCGACATGAGAACTGTTCCAGAACCAGTAAGTTCCAGTTGCCCACCTAATTTTCAATAAGTTGAACGTTCATCCTACTTGACAAATGAATTGATGTACTGGAAATTACCGTTATAGAACGGTTCTCATGTCGGTTGGAACAGAGCTATTATCAAACATTCAAAATTTTCCAAAAATGACAATAAGACAGATTTTACCTCACAGCTCCATTATTTTCCTTATGATTTCATCGTAATAAGGTTCAACTTAAAACCAATTAAATTCTCTACAAACCTGTTGATTAATATTTTAATTTGGTTCCAACAGTTTTACACCTGAAAAGCTTCAAAATTTATATTAGCTCTGTTCCAACTGACATGAGAACCGTTTCAGATCCAGTATAAGTTCCAGTTGCCCATCTATTTTTCAATAAGTTGAATGTTCATTCTACTTGACAAATGAATTGATGGACTGGAACTTACCGTTTCAGAATGGTTCTCATATCGGTTGGAACAGAGCTATTATCAAACATTCAAAATTTTCCAAAAATTACAGTAAGACAGTTTTAGCCTCACAGCTTCATCAATTTCCATCTGATTTCAACGTAATTAGGTTCAACTTGAAGCCAATTAAATTCTCAACAATCCTGTTGATTGAAATTTTAATTTGGTTTCAACAGTTTTACACCTGAGAAGCTTTAAAATTGAATTTATCAAACATTGAAAATTTTCCAAAAATTACACCGAGACAGTTTTTGCCTTACAGCTCCATTAATTTCCATCTGATTTCAATGTAATTAGGCTCAACTTGAAACCAATTAAATTCTCTACAAACCTGTAATCAAGATTTTAGAACTCTTGATTAATATAGTTAAAGCTAACGGAGCAGTTTGAAAACCTCTTTTTAAACCTATTAAAGCTTAAACTTGAACTTGCAATCAACTCTGAAGCTGAAATTGAACTTTTGTGGACGAAGAGCAGTTTGGAAATATAATTTTTTGAATTTGTTAGAGCTGAGAAAAATTTAAAAATCTCATAACTGGCTGAAATCTTAACTAGAAAAGCGACTTCTGTCCATCTCAGAATTACTGTTAAGAGATAGAACAATTTTAAGAAAATCAATTAACCTTTGTTGTTTGTGGAGGAACTTTTGCACCGAGGTCCCAACCACCTCTACCGCCTCTAGGCTTAAAAAAGTTCTGTCAAAAGACCCTATTATGCAACCGGGTAGTCTTAGGAGAAGTGATGGCACATATACCGTTATCTCCGAAAACACAGTACTACTAGAAACCCACTTTCCAGAAACCAGAAATCAGATGTAATTCAGCTTACAGTGGTCCGCTCTGGTTCTCAGTGCCCCAATTTTGAATCTCAGATAATTTAAAACTATGTAAATTAACTATAAGCAGCAACCTACGTATGTAGCACATATATAAATAGGCTATAGAGTTTCTGAACTGTGAACAAAAAGATGTTCAATTACATTATTCTATAAATTTTTTGAATTACAAATGAGATTATTTGAATTACATTTAAAAAATCGGAATTACAAGTGAAATTTTCTGAATTACAACTGAAATTTTCTGAATTACAAGTTAATTATCTTAATTATTACAAGTGAGGTTTTACATTTGAAATATTTGAATTGCAAGTGAGATTTTCTCAATTACATGTTGAAAAAGCTGAAATAAAATGAAATGCTATACATCTATTGTAGAGCTGAAATTGAACTTTTGTCTATATTCCAGAATTACTGTTCAAATAGAGCGATTTGAAAATGACCATGTTTATAGAGCCAGAATATCATTGGTGAATCTCAGAGCTGATATTTTTGAATTAGAGTGGAAATTGAGCAGTGTAAACTTTCATTTTTGGACCTGCTTCGAGCTAAATTCTGAGAAGCTTAAAATTCTCATTACTCTCCTAAAGCTGGAATTCCAACTCAAAATTGTTTCTGGAACTGTTTATTATTGATAAAAATACTGTGGGAATTGTGTGAAAAGGGCAATGTTGCTCTATGGATTTTCGGAAAAAAAGAGCTACGAGTTTTTGGAATTTTTGATTTTTGATGAGAAATCTATAGTGATATTTTCTATGATTTATTGTTGAGAATATTGAACTTTTAATTTGGATCTGGTGAAGTAATTAGATGAAGTCAAAATGTATAGGAAAATCAACTAAACTTGGGTTTTGTGTTCTTATACTCAATATTTCGAAAACTATCTGAGGTAAATGATTTAATTTTGTTTTATCTTGAAGAGCATTCAATTCTGATTCAGAATATATAAATATGTCTCAGAATTTCTAGGATATAAATTGAGTTATGGGTGATTTTGTGAGGCAATGTCGGATAATCAAAATTTCTCAGGGCAAAAAAAGCAAAAATCATTTTTAATTTTTCACAAGCCTTAAAAACTTGAAAAGAAAAATTATGAAGATGCTTTTCCACTAAATTTGACTCCCTCTTTTGATTGGCAAAATCGAAAAATAAAAAATCGAGAAAAATCAAAATTTAAATTTTATCAAGGGGTATATGCAAGGAACTTTCATTTTCAAATATTTCAAAGGGCCATATCGACACGAATTTATGTCTAAGTGTAGATCTCAATTGGGGCTTTAAAAAAGGTTATTTGGGGCACCGAGCCCTAGGGCTTCGTTTTTGAGATAATTGGCTTTGAAGGTTTTCCAGAATTTGAGACAAAATTTCAACTTTGAGGCTCGATATCTCAAAAACTATTTGAGATAGTTGATTCAAGTTGGTTTTATCTTAAAGAACATTAATTTTTGATTCAGAATATATAAATATTTATCAGAATTTCTGAGATACTAATTGAGTTATGGATGATTTTGTAAGGCAATGTCGGATAATCAAAATTTCTCCGAGCAAAAAAAGCAAAAATCATTTTTAATTTTTTACAAGTACCTACTAAAAACTCGAGAAGAAAAATCATAAAAGTGCTTTTTCACTAAATTTGACCCCCTCTTTCGATTGGTAAAATCAAAAATTGAAAAATCAAGAAAAATCAAACTTGAAATTTTTCTAAGGGGTATGCAAGGAAATTCAATTCTCAAATATTTCGAAGGTCCATATTTTGAAAACTAAAAAAGCTATCGGCACCAAATTTTGTCTTATCGTAGATCTCAAATAGGGCTTCAAAAACGGTTATTTGGGGCACCGAGCCCTAGGGCTTCGTTTTCGAGATAATTGGCTTTGAAGGTTTTCCAGAATTTGAGACAAAGTTTTAACTTTGAGGCTCAATATCTCGAAAACTACGTGAGATATATAATTCAATTTTGCTTTATCTTAAAGAGCATTTAATTCTGATTCAGAATATGTACATATGCATCAGAATTTCTAAGATTTAGATTGAATTATGGGCGATTTTGTGAGGCAATGTTGAATAATCAAAATTTCTCAGGGCAAAAAAAGCAAAAATCATTTTTAATTTTTTACAGACCCTAAAACCTCAAAAAGAAAAATCACAAAAATGTTTTTCCACTAAATTTAACCCCCTCTTTCGATTGGTAAAATCAAAAATTAGGAAATCGAGAAAAATCAAAATAGAACTTTTTCTAAGGGGCATGCAAGGAAATTTCATTTTCAAATATTTCAAAGAGCCATATTTTAGAAACCAGAGAAGCAATTGGCACGAAATTTTGTCTAAGTGTAGATCTCAATTGGGACTTCAAAAAAGATTATTTGGGGCACCGAGCCCTAGGGCTTTGTTTTTGAGATAATCGGCTTTGAAAGTTTTCCAGAATTTGAGAGAAAATTTCAACTTTGAGGCTCAATATCTCGAAAACTATGTGAGATATATAATTAAATTTTATTTCATTTCAAAGAGCATTTAATTCTGATTCAGAACATATAAATATGCATTAGAATTTCTAAGATATTAATTGAGTTATGGGCGTTTTTGTGAGGCAATGTCGGATAATCAAAATTTTTCAGGGCCTAAAAAGCAAAAATCATTTTTAATTTTTCACAAGCCTTAAAAACTCGAAAAGAAAAATCACGGAAATGCTTTTCTACTAAATTTGACCCCCTCTTTCGATTGGTAAAATCGAAAATTAAAAAATCGAGAAAAATCAAAATTTAAATTTTTTCAAGGGGTATATGCAAGGAACTTTCATTTTCAAATATTTTAAAGGGCCATATTTTAGAAACCACAGAACAATCGGCACGAAATAATGTCTAAGTGTAGATCTCAATTGGGGCTTCAAAAAAGGTTCTTTGAGGCACTGAGCCCTAGGGCTTCGTTTTCAAGATATTTGGCTTTGAAGGTTTTCTAGAATTTGAGACAAAGTTTCAACTTTGAGGCTCAATATCTCGAAAACGATGTAAGATACATAATTCAATTTTATTTTATCTTAAAGAGCATTCAATTCTGATTCAAAATATATAAATACGCATCAGAATTTCTAAGATATTAATTGAGTTATGGGCGATTTTGTGAGGCAATGTCGGATAATCAAAATTTCTGAGTATCTCCAGAAGTATTCCAAATTTCGAAATGGCATTTTGATGAGCAATACATTGCGTAACTTTGCCCTAATTCAACTGCCTCTGGGTACCTTTTATAATCACCGAGTCTTTGCAACACCCTGTATATTATTTTTAGAGCCACCCTGTCAAAAATCACTGCCCAAAAACCTCAAAAAACAAAAATAATTCCTATTTACAATCTTTTACAAGTCACATGTTCAATCGAGTATCACGCTAAACCCGAATCAACGTGAGTCCGACGTTTCGACTCACACCGTTGAACACCATGATCAGGCGTCGATTTCAAAATATCAGGCTGCGATTGGTTATTGACCAAAGACTGAGTGACCATTGACTGATTAACTGACACCATGGTACCTCGACTAAGTGTACCAAGCAATGGGGTCCCAGGATTGTTGATCAGCAAATTCATGTAGTCAGCTATCAACAATGTTAGTTCTAAAATTTTTGGTTTACTAAGGGTAAAGATGAGTTTCTGGGACGGTTGCTGGTCGTTTTGGGTTACAACCAGCATGAAATCTTCTTGACATCCTCCAAATGTTAGGACGTTGGTATAAGGGTATCGGTTGCGTTGTTGCATTGTTGCCAAATCCAAAGCTGTGATTGAGTCTTCGTTTACTGAAAGCCATATCATTGGGGAATCTTGTTGACGAAGACGAGCCTGAAATAATTATTAATTCATATTTCAATAGATAAAGTAATAATAAGTATAGTTTGCCCACTGAAAACTGAGCTGTGGAAAGAATGCAAATTAGTCTATCACTCTCTATATCGATTCACTTCCTCCTTTGCCTTCAAGTCTCAGTGCGCATACTTTACTTACCCATTGAGTGAAGATTCTAGAATCAATTATTATTACCTGAAACAATGTCGCACCAAAATAAGGCCACTTTCTCGTACAAGTCAAATAAATCCTAACACAATCCAATTGAGTCCTGCCTTTCAAAGCCCTCCACTTAGCTAATAGCTTAGCTTGTAGCTCAGCTAATCCTTCTTGACTTAGTTGGTCTCTATACCTATAAGGATAAAACTTGTCTATGGCATTAAGGGCCTGGTTGGAATGCGCCGTTAAAATTCCGTGGACGTTATTCAAAGCACTTAACGTGGACGAGTTTTGTATGGCTGGAGGGCTAAAAGTGCCGTTGGTTGTTGATTTTGACGGACTTTGTTTGATGTTTGAGGCCAGAGTGTTGCTGGCACTGGCAGCTTTGCTAGAGCCCAAAGGGCAGTCGCCTATATCAAGTTGAGCCATTAAAGCAGCCAATTCCAATGCTAATTCTCTGCTTAAAGGGAATCTTCCAGCTACAATTTGCTTGTTTATTTGATAGCTTAATAATATACGTTCCTTGTCAGTTTCTAGTCTTGCACTGTTTTTCCACCATAATCGGTTTTTGTAAGTCAACCTGATTACTTTGCTGTTTTCGAATTTGCCCATGCCTTTTTCCCTCAAAGCAATCTCCCATTTAGAAATAAGATCGCAAAGTTTTGCACTAGGATCCAGAGTGTGTTCTAAATCTTTTTCAATTGGATCATCACTGAATAGGGCAAAACCGTTGTTCATTCTACAACCGATTTCATGTGCTAGAGTGTCTTGGAATTCTTTAATTGTGGTGGAACCATCGAAACTAGTAATGTGATAGGTACCGTTGGCTAAATGGACAGGCATTGAGTGAGGTAAGGAATGGTGTTGAGGGTTTTTGAGCAAAATACTTAAGACTTCCATGCGGCTGGGTTTCAATTCACGACCACCTAAAATAAGATTGAATAGATATTGAGGTTTTAAAAATTACATAGAGGGTGTCCCATTGGGAACCAAATTGATCTATACAAAGTGGCAATTGGTTTAAGAATTTGGTTCAAGCTCAGGATGTCTTTTCACAAAATCGAACAATTTCTTTGTCTTTGTCAGTAGTAATACAGAAATATACCTAAATATGGGTAACGAAGACAGAATCTTCGTTCTCATGAGATAACGCTGCTGCTCTTTTGTCTCAAGAATAAAGACCATAAACCCGAGATAGTGTTAACTAGACGTTGCCAAATTGCAGGGGCGTTGGATAGACCAAAAGGCATCCTGATTTTCCAAGACGAGTGGCGTTTTGTGAATTTATTATAACTCGAGCGGAAGGAAATCTTTTTTTTTTTTGTTTTGGACTTGGACACCTCTTACTTACAAACTCGATGAAATTCTGATATATGTTAGACCTTGATTTTCTGATAAAAAGTTCCCATGTAAAATTCTTGACAAATCAACTTTGGAATTTTTTTAAAAATACTTCCAGGAATCTGAGCAACTTGAAACTTCCAGGAATTCATAATTGGAGTATTTTCTTCCAATATAATAAATCTGAAGTCAATCTGAGTCTCAGAAATGGAATTATGAATTTTTCAAAAAATCCTTGTAAAATTCTTAGCAAATCAAATTTGGAATTTTTTCAAAAATACTTTTAGGAATCTGAGAAACTTGAAACTTCCAGGAATTCATAATTGGAGTATTTTCTTCAAATATAATAAATCTGAAGTCAATCTGAGCCTCAGAAATGGATTTATGAATTTTTCAAAAAATCCTTGTAAAATTCTTAGCAAATCAAATTTGGAATTTTTTCAAAAATACTTTTAGGAATCTGAGAAACTTGAAACTTCCAGGAATTCATAATTGGAGTATTTTCTTCAAATATAACAAATCTGAAGTCAAGCTGAGCCTCAGAAATGGAATTACGAATTTTTGAAACAATCCTTGTAAAATTCTTAACAAATCAAATTTGGAATTTTTTCAAAAATACTTTCAGGAATTTGAGCAACTTGAAAGTTTCAGGAATTCATAACTTAGGTATTTTCTTCAAATGTAACAAATCTGAAGTCAACCTGACCCTCAGAAACGGAATTTTGAATTTTTTTAAAAATCCTTATAATATTCTTAACAAATCAAATTTGGAATTTTTTCAAAAATACTTCCAAGGATCTGAGCAACTTGAAACTTCCAAGAATTCATAATTGAAGTCTCTTCTTTAAATGTAGTGAATCTGAAGTCAATCTGAGCCTCAGAAACGGAATTATGAATTTTTTTAAAAAATCCTTGTAAAATTCTTAACAAATCAACTTTGAGATATTTTCAAAAATACTTCCAGGAATCTGAGCAACTTGAAACTTCCAGGAATTCATAACTGGAGTATTTTCTTTAAATATAATAAATCTAAAGTCAATCTGAGCCTCAGAAATGGAATTATGAATTTTTCAAAAAATCCGTGTAAAATTCTTAACAAATCAACTTTGGAATTTTTTCAAAAATACTTCCAGGAATCTGAGCAACTTGAAACTTCCAGGAATTCACAATTGAAGTATTTTCTTTAAATATAATAAATCTGAAATCAATCTCAGTCTCAGAAACGGAATTATGAATTTTTAAAAAAATCCGTGTAAAATTCTTAACAAATCAACTTTGGAATTTTTTCAAAAATACTTCCAGGAATCTGAGCAACTTGAAACTTCCAGGAATTCATAATTGAAGTATTTTCTTTAAATATAATAAATCTGAAGTCAATCTGAGCCTCAGAAACGGAATTATGAATTTTTAAAAAAATCCGTGTAAAATTCTTAACAAATCAACTTTGGAATTTTTTCAAAAATACTTCCAGGAATCTGAGCAACTTGAAACTTCCAGGAATTCATAACTGGAGTATTTTCTTTAAATATAATAAATCTAAAGTCAATCTGAGCCTCAGAAATGGAATTATGAATTTTTCAAAAAATCCTAGTAAAATTCTTAACAAATCAACTTTGGAATTTTTTCAAAAATACTTCCAGGAATCTGAGCAACTTGAAACTTCCAGGAATTCACAATTGAAGTATTTTCTTTAAATATAATAAATCTGAAATCAATCTCAGTCTCAGAAACGGAATTATGAATTTTTAAAAAAATCCGTGTAAAATTCTTAACAAATCAACTTTGGAATTTTTTCAAAAATACTTCCAGGAATCTGAGCAACTTGAAACTTCCAGGAATTCATAATTGAAGTATTTTCTTTAAATATAATAAATCTGAAGTCAATCTGAGCCTCAGAAACGGAATTATGAATTTTTAAAAAAATCCGTGTAAAATTCTTAACAAATCAACTTTGGAATTTTTTCAAAAATACTTCCAGGAATCTGAGCAACTTGAAACTTCCAGGAATTCATAACTGGAGTATTTTCTTTAAATATAATAAATCTAAAGTCAATCTGAGCCTCAGTAATGGAATTATGAATTTTTCAAAAAATCCGTGTAAAATTCTTAACAAATCAACTTTGGAATTTTTTCAAAAATACTTCCAGGAATCTGAGCAACTTGAAACTTCCAGGAATTCATAACTGGAGTATTTTCTTTAAATATAATAAATCTAAAGTCAATCTGAGCCTCAGAAATGGAATTATGAATTTTTCAAAAAATCCGTGTAAAATTCTTAACAAATCAACTTTGGAATTTTTTCAAAAATACTTCCAGGAATCTGAGCAACTTGAAACTTCCAGGAATTCACAATTGAAGTATTTTCTTTAAATATAATAAATCTGAAATCAATCTCAGTCTCAGAAACGGAATTATGAATTTTTAAAAAAATCCGTGTAAAATTCTTAACAAATCAACTTTGGAATTTTTTCAAAAATACTTCCAGGAATCTGAGCAACTTGAAACTTCCAGGAATTCATAACTGGAGTATTTTCTTTAAATATAATAAATCTAAAGTCAATCTGAGCCTCAGAAATGGAATTATGAATTTTTCAAAAAATCCGTGTAAAATTCTTAACAAATCAACTTTGGAATTTTTTCAAAAATACTTCCAGGAATCTGAGCAACTTGAAACTTCCAGGAATTCATAATTGAAGTATTTTCTTTAAATATAATAAATCTGAAGTCAATCTGAGCCTCAGAAACGGAATTATGAATTTTTAAAAAAATCCGTGTAAAATTCTTAACAAATCAACTTTGGAATTTTTTCAAAAATACTTCCAGGAATCTGAGCAACTTGAAACTTCCAGGAATTCATAACTGGAGTATTTTCTTTAAATATAATAAATCTAAAGTCAATCTGAGCCTCAGAAATGGAATTATGAATTTTTCAAAAAATCCGTGTAAAATTCTTAACAAATCAACTTTGGAATTTTTTCAAAAATACTTCCAGGAATCTGAGCAACTTGAAACTTCCAGGAATTCATAACTGGAGTATTTTCTTTAAATATAATAAATCTAAAGTCAATCTGAGCCTCAGAAATGGAATTATGAATTTTTCAAAAAATCCGTGTAAAATTCTTAACAAATCAAATTTGGAATTTTTTCAAAAATACTTTTAGGAATCTGAGCAACTTGAAACTTCCAAGAATTCATAATTCATCTTCTTTAAATATAGTAAATCTGAAGTCAATCTGAGCCTCAGAAATGGAATTATGAATTTTTTAAAAAATCCTTGTAAAATTCTTAGCAAATCAAATTTGGAAATTTTTCAAAAATACTTTTAGGAATCTGGAGCAACTTGAAACTTCCAGGAATTCATAATTGAAGTATTTTCTTTAAATATAATAAATCTTAAGTCAATCTGAGCCTCAGAAACGGAATTATGAATTTAAAAAAAAAATCCTTGTAAAATTCTTAACAAATCAACTTTGGAATTTTTTCAAAAATACTTTCAGGAATCTGAGCAACTTGAAACTTCCAAGAATTCATAATTCATCTTCTTTAAATATAGTAAATCTGAAGTCAATCTGAGCCTCAGAAATGGAATTATGAATTTTTTAAAAAATCCTTGTAAAATTCTTAGCAAATCAAATTTGGAAATTTTTTAAAAATACTTCCAGGAATCTGAGCAACTTGAAACTTCCAGGAATTCATAATTGGAGTATTTTCTTCAAATATAATAAATCTGAAGTCAATCTGAGCCTCAGAAATGGAATTATGAATTTTTCAAAAAATCCTTGTAAAATTCTTAGCAAATCAAATTTGGAATTTTTTCAAAAATACTTTTAGGAATCTGAGAAACTTGAAACTGCCAGGAATTCATAATTCGAGTATTTTCTTCAAATATAACAAATCTGAAGTCAATCTGAGCCTCAGAAATGGAATTATGAATTTTTTAAAAAATCCTTGTAAAATTCTTAGCAAATCAAATTTGGAATTTTTTCAAAAATACTTTTAGGAATCTGAGCAACTTGAAACTTCCAAGAATTCATAATTCATCTTCTTTAAATATAGTAAATCTGAAGTCAATCTGAGCCTCAGAAATGGAATTATGAATTTTTTAAAAAATCCTTGTAAAATTCTTAGCAAATCAAATTTGGAAATTTTTTAAAAATACTTCCAGGAATCTGAGCAACTTGAAACTTCCAAGAATTCATAATGAAAGTCTTTCCTTCAAATATAACAAATCTGAAGTCAATCTGAGCCTCAGAAATGGAATTATGAATTTTTTAAAAAATCCTTGTAAAATTCTTAGCAAATCAAATTTGGAAATTTTTTAAAAATACTTCCAGGAATCTGAGCAACTTGAAACTTCCAGGAATTCATAATTCGAGTATTTTCTTCAAATATAACAAATCTGAAGTCAATCTGAGCCTCAGAAATGGAATTATGAATTTTTCAAAAAATCCTTGTAAAATTCTTAGCAAATCAAATTTGGAATTTTTTCAAAAATACTTTTAGGAATCTGAGCAACTTGAAACTTCCAAGAATTCATAATTCATCTTCTTTAAATATAGTAAATCTGAAGTCAATCTGAGCCTCAGAAATGGAATTATGAATTTTTTAAAAAATCCTTGTAAAATTCTTAGCAAATCAAATTTGGAAATTTTTTAAAAATACTTCCAGGAATCTGAGCAACTTGAAACTTCCAAGAATTCATAATGAAAGTCTTTCCTTCAAATATAACAAATCTGAAGTCAATCTGAGCCTCAGAAATGGAATTATGAATTTTTTAAAAAATCCTTGTAAAATTCTTAGCAAATCAAATTTGGAAATTTTTTAAAAATACTTCCAGGAATCTGAGCAACTTGAAACTTCCAGGAATTCATAATTCGAGTATTTTCTTCAAATATAACAAATCTGAAGTCAATCTGAGCCTCAGAAATGGAATTATGAATTTTTCAAAAAATCCTTGTAAAATTCTTAGCAAATCAAATTTGGAATTTTTTCAAAAATACTTTTAGGAATCTGAGCAACTTGAAACTTCCAAGAATTCATAATTCATCTTCTTTAAATATAGTAAATCTGAAGTCAATCTGAGCCTCAGAAATGGAATTATGAATTTTTTAAAAAATCCTTGTAAAATTCTTAGCAAATCAAATTTGGAAATTTTTCAAAAATACTTTTAGGAATCTGGAGCAACTTGAAACTTCCAGGAATTCATAATTGAAGTATTTTCTTTAAATATAATAAATCTTAAGTCAATCTGAGCCTCAGAAACGGAATTATGAATTTAAAAAAAAAAATCCTTGTAAAATTCTTAACAAATCAACTTTGGAATTTTTTCAAAAATACTTTCAGGAATCTGAGCAACTTGAAACTTCCAAGAATTCATAATTCATCTTCTTTAAATATAGTAAATCTGAAGTCAATCTGAGCCTCAGAAATGGAATTATGAATTTTTTAAAAAATCCTTGTAAAATTCTTAGCAAATCAAATTTGGAAATTTTTTAAAAATACTTCCAGGAATCTGAGCAACTTGAAACTTCCAAGAATTCATAATTCATCTTCTTTAAATATAGTAAATCTGAAGTCAATCTGAGCCTCAGAAATGGAATTATGAATTTTTTAAAAAATCCTTGTAAAATTCTTAGCAAATCAAATTTGGAAATTTTTCAAAAATACTTTTAGGAATCTGGAGCAACTTGAAACTTCCAGGAATTCATAATTGAAGTATTTTCTTTAAATATAATAAATCTTAAGTCAATCTGAGCCTCAGAAACGGAATTATGAATTTAAAAAAAAAATCCTTGTAAAATTCTTAACAAATCAACTTTGGAATTTTTTCAAAAATACTTTCAGGAATCTGAGCAACTTGAAACTTCCAAGAATTCATAATTCATCTTCTTTAAATATAGTAAATCTGAAGTCAATCTGAGCCTCAGAAATGGAATTATGAATTTTTTAAAAAATCCTTGTAAAATTCTTAGCAAATCAAATTTGGAAATTTTTTAAAAATACTTCCAGGAATCTGAGCAACTTGAAACTTCCAGGAATTCATAATTGGAGTATTTTCTTCAAATATAATAAATCTGAAGTCAATCTGAGCCTCAGAAATGGAATTATGAATTTTTCAAAAAATCCTTGTAAAATTCTTAGCAAATCAAATTTGGAATTTTTTCAAAAATACTTTTAGGAATCTGAGAAACTTGAAACTGCCAGGAATTCATAATTCGAGTATTTTCTTCAAATATAACAAATCTGAAGTCAATCTGAGCCTCAGAAATGGAATTATGAATTTTTTAAAAAATCCTTGTAAAATTCTTAGCAAATCAAATTTGGAATTTTTTCAAAAATACTTTTAGGAATCTGAGCAACTTGAAACTTCCAAGAATTCATAATTCATCTTCTTTAAATATAGTAAATCTGAAGTCAATCTGAGCCTCAGAAATGGAATTATGAATTTTTTAAAAAATCCTTGTAAAATTCTTAGCAAATCAAATTTGGAAATTTTTTAAAAATACTTCCAGGAATCTGAGCAACTTGAAACTTCCAAGAATTCATAATGAAAGTCTTTCCTTCAAATATAACAAATCTGAAGTCAATCTGAGCCTCAGAAATGGAATTATGAATTTTTTAAAAAATCCTTGTAAAATTCTTAGCAAATCAAATTTGGAAATTTTTTAAAAATACTTCCAGGAATCTGAGCAACTTGAAACTTCCAGGAATTCATAATTCGAGTATTTTCTTCAAATATAACAAATCTGAAGTCAATCTGAGCCTCAGAAATGGAATTATGAATTTTTCAAAAAATCCTTGTAAAATTCTTAGCAAATCAAATTTGGAATTTTTTCAAAAATACTTTTAGGAATCTGAGCAACTTGAAACTTCCAAGAATTCATAATTCATCTTCTTTAAATATAGTAAATCTGAAGTCAATCTGAGCCTCAGAAATGGAATTATGAATTTTTTAAAAAATCCTTGTAAAATTCTTAGCAAATCAAATTTGGAAATTTTTCAAAAATACTTTTAGGAATCTGGAGCAACTTGAAACTTCCAGGAATTCATAATTGAAGTATTTTCTTTAAATATAATAAATCTTAAGTCAATCTGAGCCTCAGAAACGGAATTATGAATTTAAAAAAAAAATCCTTGTAAAATTCTTAACAAATCAACTTTGGAATTTTTTCAAAAATACTTTCAGGAATCTGAGCAACTTGAAACTTCCAAGAATTCATAATTCATCTTCTTTAAATATAGTAAATCTGAAGTCAATCTGAGCCTCAGAAATGGAATTATGAATTTTTTAAAAAAATCTTTGTAAAATTCTAAACAAATCAACTTTGGAATTTTTTTAAAAATACTTCCAAGCATCTGAGCACATAATACAGTGATATAGACATATAAATATGAGTGCCAAAGACAGAATCGTCGTTCTCATAAGAACGCTGCTCTCCTGTCTCAAGAATAGAGACCTTAAATCCAAGATAACTAGACATTGCCAAATTGCAGGAACGTTGGATAAACCAAAAGGCATCCTGATATTCCAAGACGAGTGGTATTCTGTGAATGTATTATAGCTTGGACAGAAAAAATGCATCCTCTTATATTAATACTTTCTTGAAAAACCAGTAAGGGAAAAATTTTGAAACTTTTGAAATAATAAGAAGATAATTAGGATCTCATCATACTAAAATTTAGGATTTTTCCAATAGAAAATCATGACATGAATAAAATCCCTATAAATTAGTTGGCACCCTGTATAGATCTATTTGGTTCCATGTGGGACACCCTGTATAAACTACAATTTTACCTGCTACAATAGTCCTTTCCAAAGCCCTTTCGCAATAAGCAGCATACTTCCCACACTCAGTCCTGTTATCAGCATTCCTTCGCAGATGAAACTTCAAAAACCACAACAGCCTTGAAGACTTCGGCACAAACAGGCTGACAGCTACGGCCAACAGTTGCCAGCCTTGCAACAGAGTGAAAACGGGCGGCGCCTTGGGATCCTTGTGCTCTTTGTAGCACTCCTTGTGCTCCCTGTACTTGTCCTCTTGGGCGGCCTGTATATTGGACAATGCGATTTGATCATCGGAAGCTGTACTGTTTATGCTCGGCGTGTTCGTTTCGCACGAGAACAGACTTTGCGTGGCGCAAAGCAGCAATTGCTGTAAAAAGATTATTGGTGTTTCGGTTTTTGAGTACATTTTAATCTACTATGATAACTAAACAGAGATCTGCAAACTAAAATGTAATAATAATTGTAAAACTAGACGTGTTATGAATGTATGTGCTCATATAGAATAGTATGTATTTACTATAGCAAATAATAATAATGCTAAAAGACTCAAAAGTATGAAGAAAAAAAAAAATGAAACACCAACCTTCTTTCTTATGAATAGAGAAAACATGCGTCAAAACTTACTCAATACTATTTCTACTGCAAAATCAACACAAATTAAAAAACCCAAACTAAAAAAAACGAAGCCCACTTACGCCTTTCTTAAGCAATTTTTGTGTGGATACCTGCACTCCTAGCTTGGGCAAAGGCACACTTTTGCTGGTTTGCTTTATGAGGGCGCATATAAGTTCCGCTTGCAGTTCTGGCATATCTAAACATTGCTGCAAGGCGTTTTGAGCTAAGACTACATGGTAATCGATTCCTGCTTGGTCAACTGCAGCCGACAGGAAAAGTTGTAAGCTTTTGAACAATTTAATTGCTTCTGCCTGTTATTATTGAAAAACAATATAATTTTCTAATATTTGGATTACTATGAACAATAATTACTTGTAAAGATTCAGTAGGAAGACTTGTTAAAGGAAAATAGGACGGCACCGCACCATCTTTAGTACAAGGCACATGCAGTAATACAGGATGACGCCACAAAACACAATTAGGATCACCATCAACTTCCATTAGTTTGTGTATTAATTGTTCGTATTGGGTTCCACTGCTTGGTCCACCACCGCTGGCCACAGTTAAATGGTACAGCCAAGCATCCTTTTCTTGTTTGCCTGGACAGAGCAGATACGTGGGGCCGGAATTGTTGGGAAATATTCCTATTGTTAGATCAGGTTGTTCAGAGTCTCGTTCTTCTGAGTCGGAATCTGATAGATGTTCGACTTCTTCTACTCGGGCTTCTCTCATATTTATTTGTCCGTGAGGAGTCTGCGATATATAATTGATTAAATTAGTCTAGAAGCATATTTTAACGTTTGGAATAGACAAGAATCGAAAGTTATATAATGAAATATTAGTCCTGAAGACGTTTTTGTTGGGTTTTGTAACATACAACGTCTTTAAGATGTCTGTGTGCTGTCTAGGAACTAAATACCAATTTGTAGTTTTTATTGAGAGATACAATTTGTGTCCAAAAACTTGAAAATTCCTCACCGTATCAGATGGTGACTTGAAATACAAAAACATCTTCCCAATCAAGACACACCAACATCGCTTGGCGTGGCCATTTTTCACTTTCGTCAACCACCCTTGCACCGAAGGCTTATTTTCTTCTTTGCTCAGTAATATTTTAGTTGCGTTTCTTCGTTGCACGTTTTGTAGAATTCTCACCTAAACAAAAATTTATTTTAATTGTCTTTTGTAATTTTATAGATTGACTTACCCAGTCTTCCATAGCAGTAATCGTATCTGCCGTTAAGTAATAGGTTTTCTTGCCGGTATCAATTTCAAATGTGTTCGAGCCTTCTGCTCTGGTAATTTTACAAACTTCATCTAATAGTATTTGCCCTTGGGGTTTTCTATTGATATCACTTTGGCTTTTGTAGTAAGTTAGGACGCCGTTTTTTAATACAAACCATTTTTTTCGCCACGTTTTTAGTTTACCACCTAAATCATAAGTAAGTAAAAGTATAAAATATAAATAAAATTATTACCTAATTTAGCTAAAGATCCACACTTTTCTAAACTCTCTATTCGTTTAGGACTGTCTAAATAGGAAGCTCGAAGCATCATAGAAGATTCTAGGCTAGCAGTATCACAACTTAGAGCGTCTGGAGGCACAGCATAATCGTCTGATAATCCAGATTCAAAGGAAATATCTGAAACGGCTTGAAGTTACATGGTTTTAGTTGAAAAACACAACTCTTCAAAAATTACCTCTTGTTTTACTTTTGCTTGGTGATCCACTGCTACTAGAAGCAGTTCGTTTTCCAGGGCTCGAGCCAGTAGTTTCTCCAGAACTTCTGCTATGAGTATTTGTACCGTCGACAGCCTAAAATTGAAATAAATGGTAACTTTGGAATTTAGTGGCAATGGGAGATGAAAATTGAATCATTACCGAGAATGAAAATAATACCTGAGTATTATTTCCTTCTCCATCGCTGGAATCGTCTGTAGAATCCCCAGTAAATGGCATTGATCTTATTTGACTAGCTCTGCCTTTGACTGTGGCATAAACTGGAACAGGTATATCTTGGTAGCCGGCCTGTTCTGGACCTATATCACTTGGAGTAGTTCCGGTTAATGTTAATCCATCAGCTGCGACCTGAAAACAATTATGAATAAATCAGCAATTATTTGATTGCAATAATTACCTGATATATTCGATCTTCCCAGCTAGGAAATCTATGTAGAGGCGGTGTAGGGGCTCTTGGCCAAGCAACTTTTTCCCTACTAGGAGTATAGATTTCGGCATAATCGTGCGCCAAGTCTGGATCACTGGCACTACTACTCGGTATTCGTCCAATACTGAGATTGTCTACTGCAGCTCGGAGTTCATCAGTTAATGGATCCATACTGGAAAGATTATAATAATTCTGTAATATCGAAAAACGAGATATTGGTACTATTATATAGAACGTAACGAGTACTACAACATGACCGCGAAATCCAAAAAGTTCCTTTACAATAGTTATTTAGATATAGGTACAGAGAGGACCAGGCTACTAGACACATAGGCTCCAATGGGACCAGTTGACTGATACCCTGACTATTTTCGCCTCGATTCGCTGGGACCGGGTACAAGCCAACTCATCTCATTATTCTCTATGTGTCTAGTACGAACAACAACATTTGTTACTAGAGTCAGGCAGGAAGTGTTAGACGTAACACTTTGTAGTCCAAATATTGACGAAATGATCAGGAATTGGAGAATCGCCAATGAACCCTCTCTCTCTGATCAGAGAAACATAATCTTTGACGTAAAAGGAGTGCAGGAACGAACTACCTGGTTGCCTATGGTTGAACCACCTGTCACGACTTAGATCCGAGGTTCGTTGGCTTTTGAACAAATCCAAACGAGACGAAGAATGGCAGAGCTACACCGAAAGGCTGACTGAGTAGATCAAAGAAATTAGGAAGGCCAAGCGAAAAAACTTCAGAAACTTCTGTGAATCACAGAAACATCATGAGCAGCCAGATTAGATTATACAAAACCCTGGCGAAAGACAGGATTCAAGGACCATTGACACTTAAGAAACCAGACCGGATACCTACCCAGTTAATGGAGAAGAACTAAAGTAACTTTCATCCCGAAAGCAGGGAAAAGACACGCCACTCTTCCGGAGTTGTTCAGACCTATATTATGCTTTACGTTGTTCTTGCTTAAAACAGCTGAGAAAGTTGTAAATTTCTACCTTAGAACAAGTGTTTTACAAAAGATGCCACTACATCCTGGGCAGCATGCTTACAGAGCGGGCAGATCAACAGAAACTAGAGGTGGGCCAACCTGCGATTTTACTGGAGCTGTGACAAGACGTAACTGCTCTAGTCGTGTCACGGTGATAAATAGCAGTGAATTTTTGGAACAGTTTAACCTTGATTGGCCATGCTAGTAATACATATAAATGCTACATTACATAATCGCAGTCACGGAGAGAGGTGTTCCAGTTTGTGACAAAATCACCGTTCGTGGAATCGCAACCCACTTCTAAAACTAAGTACTTGAAGTAGGTACATCTCCTTCTTTGTTTCACTCATTCATTGTTTTTGCAAACTTATCCTACCTTATCTACTTCTCTGTCTTACTATTTTTGCTAAAAATACAATCAAATTAACATTAAAAATGAAATTTGTTTGTTGGAAAAAGAGGAAAAACATTCTATTTGAGATTGTAAATGTGGCAACGTTGTTTTCGATCAAGTAGGCCTTGTAATGTAATGTCATTTGCCACTTTTGACAGCCGAGTGTTTTTATCCAGCTTTTCCTTGAATTTTCCGGTTTTTCAATCAAAAAAACTTTTGTCTAAAGTACGAGGCTTTGAGTTTCCTTCATTTTCTGACAAAAAAATTCCAGTTATCCAACGAGGTAAGTGACCAGAATCTTGGTTTAATCAAGTAGGCTTTAGAATGTTGGTTTTCCATTGAATTTTCCACTTTTCCAAGGCTTCTTCAATCGGAGAAAGACTCGAGTGCGGGGCTTTAAATTTGCTTCAATTTTTCAGGAAAAAAATTCCATTTTTAGACTAAAATAGTATCCTACTTTATCTCTCTCTTTGCCTTGGGTACTCACTATCAAATTATTAGTCGGCCATTTTGAAGTGTCGTGTTTACATTGTTATCCAGGTTTTCCTCGAATTTTCCACTTTTTCAGGGTATTTTCAGTCGAAAAAACTGGTTTAAAGTACGAGGCGTCGAGTTTTCTCCATTTTCTGCTAGAAATTTCCAGTTTTAGATTCATTAATTTACTGTCAAAAGGTAAGTGAAAAAAAATTATTGAAAATCAAGTTTTTGAGGCCTTATTCAAGGAATTTCTAATTTTAAAATCGTTATTTATTAATTATTTAACAGGTTTTTAATTATTAAATTACAAGTAGAATCCCATTTTAAATGATTTTTTTTTGGAAGTTTTGTGATGTGGCAACACCGCTTGTAGCCAACTTCAAGTAGACCTTGTAATAAATGTCATTTGCCATTTTTGACAGTCGTGCCATTTTCAATTGACGAGTTTACATTTTTATCTAGTTTTTCCTCGAATCTTCCGCTTTTCCAGGCCGTTTTCAATCGGGAAAACTGTTTTAAAGTTCGAGGCTTTGAGTTTTCTCCATTTTCCACCAAAAATTTCCAGTTTTCCAATGGAGTAAGTGACCAAAACTTTGATTTTTCAAGTAGGCTTTGGAATGTTGGTTTTCCATTAAATTTTCTACTTTTGCAGGGATTTTTCAATTAGAAAAAGATGATTTTAAAGGCGGGGCTTTAAATTTGCTTCATTTTTCCACCAAAAACTATCATTTTCAGACTTAAATTGTTTCCTACTTTATCTCCCTCTTTATCTTATTTACTATTAAGCAGGCCTTGGAATGTCATTTTTATTAAAATTTATTAAAGATAAGATTCCAATCCATTATTTTCGGAATTTATCATTCCATAAACATTCATAATTAATTATTTAAACAAAAAACTTTTTAAAATGTAATTTTTTCCTATTTGAGATGTGGCAACGTCGCACAATTTTATTTCCCAGTTTTGACAGTCGGTCATTTTCGAATGTTTTTATCCAGTTTTTCTTCGAATTTTCCGCTTTTCCATGCCGTTTTCAATTGGGCAAACCGATTGATAAGACGATACTTTGAATTTTCTTCATTTTTTGTCAAAAATTTCCAGTTTTCCAATGGGGTAAGTGACAAAAACACAAGTTTTATTAAGTAGACTCTGGATTGTCATTTTTACGGGATTTCTTTTGGATTTTCCGCTTTTCCAGTGCTTTTTTGATCGGGAAACCCGATTTTAAGTACGAGGCTTTAAGTTTTCTTCATTTTCATCCAAAAATTTCTAGTTTTAAATATTAAAATTAGAGGTAGATGGGGTTTTTCTGTCTCTTTTAAAAAAAGTGAGCACTTGAATTACATCCTACTTTATCTCTTTCTTTGTCCTACTCAGAGGGTGTTAGAGCTACTTTGCACTTAAAAAACACTAAATTTAGCAGAAAAAACGGGGTTCCGAATCAAAAAAAAAAAGGGGACTCTCAAAACAAAAAACAAACAAACGCCATTTTGAATTAATTGTCAAAAATTACAAGGCCTACTTTGACTTTGACATATCAAATTTTTTGACGTTTGCGTCAGGGTTGCTACAATTTTTGTGCCAGAGTTGCTACATTTTTTCGTCCCTGTGGGCCGATTTTTCAATATCGAGTCACCTCCGGGTTGGTTTTAAATAGAGGTGGGCCAACCTGTAATTTTACTGGAACTGTGACAAGACGTGACTGCTCCAGTCGTGTCACGGTAACAAAATAGCAGTGACTTAACTGGCCGTGCTGGTAATACATATAAATGGTACATTTCATAATCCCAATTCGCCCAGTTCACAGTCACGTCACGGCCGAGAGAAATGTTCCAGTCTGCCCTCTGCAGTTTCTGTTTTGCGTCACCGCAATGTGATTTATAATAATATTTCATTATTTGCATCACTTTAAGTTGAGTTTAGTCCGCGCTGTATCGGTTAGAGATCGAAGAGGCCGTGACAAAATGTCATTGCTACTTGAGTGGGACTGGAACAGGCCGTGACTGTGACAGACGAGTAGCAGTGACAAAGTCACAGTTCGTGAAATCGCAACTCACCTCTAACAGAAACCCCTTTACTTCAACTCATTGACAGCATCCGAAGCATATTGCATAATAAAGAAGTAGCCGTCTGCGCCTTCTTGGACATAGAAGGGGCATTTGATAACATCTCTCATAAGTCAATAAGGAATGCGCTCCTCAAAAAAGGAGTGGGTAAAAGCACATCTACCTGGATGTGCGAAACGCTAGCCACCAGAATTGCAGAAACTGACGTGGGTGAACAAACCTTGTAGGTCACCACCATTAGAGGATGTCCTCAGGGAGGGGTACTCTGCGACCTTATAGAAAAAGCATTTTGAACCACGGAGGAATGGTGTCAGACAGTGGGGCTGAATCTACATTCGGCAAAAACCACACTAGTAACATTTACAAAAAGAACGAAACTTCCAAACCTGAGAAATATTCGCCTCGATGGAAGTAAACTTGATTCCTAGGAATAACTCTAGATTTCAAACTTCTCTGAAACCGACATGTAGAGAACACAAAAAATAAAGCAATTTCGGCACTTACGGTCTGTAAAAACATTGCGGGTAAAACATGGGGTTGTAACCCATCAATCCTAAGATGGATCTATACCATGATAGTGAGATCTATCATCACATACAGAGCGGTAGCCTGGTAAAGCTGAACCCAGCTAGGAAAACCCTAGGAAAAGTGCAAAGACTCGCGTGTCTCTATATAACAACAATGAGATCATGCCCAACCGCGACACTAGAAGTTATTCTAGACCTCACACCACTCTACATAATAGTGAAGCGGGTTACCAGTGGATTTTGTCTCAGACTAGAGAAGGAAAACGCACTTTAGCAGAACTTTTCCTCTTCCAAACTGTGCACACCTCATGGATGTACCAAAACACGTGATTGTTGACAAATTCAGTTTCGAGAAAAACTTTTCCATCAAACTAGAAGCACATGGAATCTATCCAATCCCTTAAAGCAAACGCGATCAAATGATACACAGACAGTTCCAAAACTGCTCAGGGAACTGGAGCCAGAGTACTCGGGCCACGGACCAGATAACTTGGAACCAATGGAGAAATCACCAAGCATATTTCAAGCGGAACTTCATGCGATCGGAATAAGATTCATGCAGTTATCGGAAACAAGAGATTGTAATAATGTTTGACAGCATTGAGATCCCTGATCATCAATTCTAAGACAGTATGGGAATGTCTACAGAAACTAAATGAGCAAAACAATTAAGTAAACCTTCTCTGGGTATCCGGACACATGGACAGACTCGCAAGAACGGGAGCGTCTACTCTCTTCACTGGGGCAGAACCATTTTGCGGTGCCGGAAATGCGCACCTCCAAGAAACCCTCAAAAAAGAAGAGAATCGGTTAAGGAACAAGATCTATTGGGCAACTTCAACCAAAAAAGATCAGAATTGCTGGTGAACCTTAACAAGAAAAGTCTCAGGACTCTAACCGGGTTTCTTTCGAGACATTGCAGACTTGCGAAACACCTACGGAAGTTGGGGTAAAAAGAAGGTGGCACCTGCAGATTCTGTGAAGACGGAGAAGAGACACCTCACTATCTTCTACTGAACTTTGATACCGTTAGTTGCTCAAAGATGAAGAACTTGGGTGTGCCATTATACAGTCTAGAGTGAAACATACCGCTATCCATTTATATATTAAGAAGAAGTAGAAAAACAAGAGAAAACATACTGGATCTAAACATAATCAGACCAAGTAGTTCACGCTGAAATGCACCCATTTGGGTAGTCCCGAAAAAAGCCGACGCCTCTGGAAGGCAAAAACTAAGAGTAGTTTGCGATTTTAGGGGACTCAATACAAAAAGCTTAGATGACAGATACTTATTATCCAACATAACGAATATCTTGGACAAGCAGGGACGTTGCCAGTACTTCACCACCTTAGATTTAGCTAGCGGCTTCCACCAGATCCAGATGTATGAGAACGACATCGAAAAAACCGCATTAAGCACAGAAAATGGACATTATGAATTCTTGCGCATGCCCTTTGATTTGAAGAACGCGCCGGCTACATTCCAAAGAGTTATGGATAACATTCTTCGCGGTATACAAAATGAAAAATGCCTCGTAAACCTAGACGATATCATTGTATTCTCAAGTTTACTTCATGAACACCTGGAGAGACTAAGAAGTGTCTTCCAAAGATTATGGAAATCTAACATTAAAATTCAGCTGGATAAGTCAGAATTTCTGAGGAAGGAAGTGGCCTATCTAGGACACGATTCATAAAGAATTTTGCAAAAATTACAAAACCTTTGACTCAGTGTCTTAAAAAAGGAGCAAAAACAAAATTCTGAATTTGTTCAAGGCATTGAAACATGTAAGAATCTATCGATTATTGAACCAATTTTACAGTATCCCGATTTTTCTAGAACATTTAACCTATAACTTCAGACGTCATTAATGTGGCTATTGGAGCTGTTTTATCGCAAAGATCAATTGGGAATGATTTACCAGTGACTTATGCATCCAGAACTTTAAATAATTCAGAAAGAAATTGCTCGACCATCGAAAAAGAGCTCCTTGTAATGGACTTATATTTTTGGCAGAAAAATAAACCTTGTAAGCGACCATAAGCCTCTGCAATGGCTATTTTCTGTAAAAGAACCTGATTCTAAATTATTAAAATAGCGAATAAAACTGGATGAATATGATTACAACATTATATATCCCCTGGAACCGCTAGATATCCTAAAATTTCTGAGGAACCTAGGATTGGAGGGGTTGTTTTGAGCAGGAAACCCGAACTTAGCAGCAGAAGGAGGGGTACAATAGATCAACATTGGTCGCGGTGCAACTCCAACACACACATAGAGTCTGTCGATTTTAATCTGATACTCCAAAGGAATGTGAGCTGGTAGCTCCCTACATTAGAAGGCCAATGATCACCTGAAGTTACAGCTCTTTTTGCCATAAGTTTCCCCCCTTGCTCCTCAAACGGAAAGTGTCAGATTAACAACGACTGACAATACACACACATATGTCTAGTAGGATGGTCTATAGACTTACCTCGAATTACTGGTAGTACCAAAATTAACACTAGTAACCAAAGTGCTAGGAACCACCGGTTCAAAATTTGTATTTGTAGACGTAAGACACACTGACTGATGCCTACGATGTTTGGAACTGCTATAAGTCGAAGCGGCTGACAATGGCAGCTGTCTTGGTTCGGGCGAACCACTTTCCGACCGTCTCCGATCAGACAAAGCCAAATGGTTGCGCAAAAGCTCCAGCTGCTGATTGCATTTGATGTTTTGCTCGCGCAGGTGCTGATTTTGTTGTTCCAGCTCGCGCAGCTTATTCGTCACCCATTCCTTGATCCGCGCAGCTTTCGCTTCCACTTGACGGGCGTCTTGCAGTCGGAGCTGACGTTGTTCTTCGACTTCGCCTTCGAGCCGATTGATTTGCGAGTTTCCGCCGCTGTCAGTTTGAGCCGACCATGCCAACTTCTGTTCCATTATTCGGACCTGTGAAGAAACAAATTTGATTTGTCAGTAATTTAATAAATCTCAGTGTTAATATTGAGGTATTTTATAGAGAAAAGTGTTTTCTCTTCAAAGTTTGATCTGAATTATTGTTTTTCCATACACATTGACAATAATGTGAATAATTCTGTTTGGCTTGAAGTTCATAAAACCTTTCGAATAGTGCATTCACGTCACGCTCCGTCTGGTTACAACCTGACGATTTTCATATTTTATGTGGCAGATGGTAAAAGTTTTATATGAGCGCCGGAAAAACACCATGTGGTGATAACTACATTGTAAATTTTAACTTACTTTTTAAGGCACACTTTTCTATTCACTGGTGTAACGACAATAAACATTTTATCATTTCACCACTTCCTCTATAGTAGAATTTTTATCTAAGTATATTAAAAATGATTCAGGAGACTGCTTGTCACCTTATTTTAATCATTTCCGACCCAGTATTCTTATCATGCAATATCAATACAAACTTCTGGGAAATCCTAAATAGTTTTTCCGAAAACTTATTGCTATTGTTAAAAGATTTATTTGTTTCGTTTCGCACGAAAGCAATATCGATCCTCAAGGGCTTTTATCACGTAGGTAGACATTACTTAGACTTAAACGAACTGTAAAATTAACAAGAACACTTTGAGTTTTATATATTTTTATGTTGTGCAAATGGGAAGCATAATAAGCATTAAACAATTTAAGATTTTTGAGAGTGTAATCTAAAAATAGTACAAATCCAGACTTAATGTAATGACCCATAAAAGATTAATTTAAGCTCCTCTTACCATCAAAATAGCTCATTTTAGTGTAAAATTTATCCATATTGAAACACCAAACAAAATCACTTCTTGAACTGTTTAAAACTCGAGCATTAAAACGATGCTCCTGGAAGAGCGTCCCGACGGCGACGTTTCTGTCACAAAACTTCCCCAACCAGTAGCAGGAAAAGAGAGAAAGAATAATCCCTCCCCGGGTCATCGGCTTGGATTGTTTTGTGTGTTATTATTGAGGGCCCCTATATAAGGAATATTTCGCCAATGGTTGCGTGTTAAGGGGTGGTTTTGATTAGGGGTATTTTTAAATGAATCATTTTTTATAGTGACTAGTAATAGTTGGCCTTGAAACTATACCAGTTGAAGAAAAATTTCTAAAGTAATGAGATTTCAACCTTGCACAAGACATTTCAAAATCTCTAATGTCTTCAAAGTTTTTAGATAAGTATTTTTTTTAGGTTTTGCATCAGCAGCCTTAGAATCTTTTTACTTTTAGTATCATGACTTCAATCAGTAAAGCCTTAATTTTTAATTAACCACTTTGAAATCTGCAATATCTTTAGTGTAGAAAATCTCAAATAAATCAATCTTGAAAGTCTTCAGTGTTGTACCCCTAGGTTGTACCTTTATTGGTCTTCAGTCTCAAGTCATGAGCTTAAAGTCTTTGAAATTTTTAGACTCTAATTCATAAGCCTTAGAAATGCATTATGAAGTACCCACCTAACTTTTGCAGGTTTTTAAAACAATCAGAGAACAAAATGATTAGCATCTTTCCTTATTAATAAACCTAAATTTTTATTTTATCACCCAATACGTGGCGGCTCTTTCAAAAGAAAACGACGCACCCAAACACTCAATTTACAGAAATATACGGAATCCAAAAATAAAACTCGCATCACCCTTGTCATTAGCACTGAGAGAGTTAAGGACCTTTTATGATTTTGGATCATGGCCAAAGGTAATTATTATTGGAATGCTAATAATAACGTGTAGATTTTGAAGCCTACATATAGAGATTTAATTACTGTTTTAAATCTCTCCCCTTAATTTAAATTTCTAGGCTCCAATGACTAATATGTGCGTAGGAAAGATCTTCCCATCTTTTCACCACAGATATATTATATACAATACACACCCCTTAATATTTTGTGTGTATGATGAATGGAAAAATTTAATTTTCACCAGCGGTTTGCGGAATTACATGGATGAAGTTTGTATGTAGACTATTTTGTCCTATTATGCCTGTTACAAATTCCATAAAAATCCCCAAAATTGTTCGTGATAAGAAATGTAGGTATTTTTCTATTTTTATTACGCTCAATGTTGAAACTCCAATTTCTCATAAATGCCTGCAATTTCTCATAAATTCCTTCAAGCTTCCCACATATTCTTCCAAATTTCTCACCGTTTTAGTAAAGTATTCCAAGGTGGTTTGCTCCATGAAGGTAAACGATCAGAAGGAACTTTTTATTTTTTCCAAAATTTCAATCTTTTCTTCATCCATACTCGAGCGAAGAAATTTTTACCAGGCGTTAGGCAAGCTAAGAGACAGATAAGCTATCCGTCCGGATAGGATATGGAAAAAAAATGCAAGCTGAAGATGAAGAAATTATGAAATGTGGAATTCCAGAGCACGCTTACTTCAGCAAAAACTACTTTCAACAGTTAAAGGATGAATATAGAGAAGCAAAGAACTACTTGAGAAACTGTACAAAAGCTACAACCACTCAACTACCTGTTGGTCAGACTTCAACAAACACCATTCAAAATCAACGTTTGAAAAAGCAGAACTTTAAATTTCAACAGCTATAGAGGGAGATTTAAGCCAAATCGTATTCGAGCTAATTGAAGAAAAATCAGAGTCTCGCTATCAGCTACAGTTGGAAAAAAATTAAAAACAATAGAACGCCATTTAAGACCTACATGAAGAAATAATGATATCTGATGAAGATATATTCCAGAATGAATACTTCACTAAAAATCTATACCATACAATAAAATGCAGCAGCAGTACGAAGATATCACTGAAAAACTAATAATCGAAATACAAGAAGACGCACTTACTCCAGTCCCTCAAGTAAATAATGGTAAATCCATGAGAATCACGTGCTGACTAAAGCCGAAAAAATGTAGTATTTCAAAACGCACGTACGAGGAGTAGCAAGCAAGCTGATCCAACATCTATGTTGCGGAAATAACCCACAACAGGTCTAATTTTTATTATTTCTAATTTAATATATCTCAATTACTATTATTTACCATAAAAATAATATTTTAAAAATAGATGCTATTGCTGGATTATTTATCCTGTTAAACTGGCAACAACAACCCTTTGAACCAATAAAATTACAGGTTTCTTCATTACCTTATAAGGCCTTTATCGCTGCTGGAATTGGTCAGCCGTCAGATTGTTTTCTAGATTTTTGCGACCTGCTCCCCTGGCAGAGTCTAGTCAACGCACATTCTTCAGTACTATTAGAACAAGCGAAGAGTTCGCACCCTCGCGCCCTCTGAATGTTCTCCAGGAGCAAAACCCCCGTTAGTACGCGCGATTTATAGTAAAATACTACTCTCTGTGTCTCAAGGCCTGACATGGTCTATATCATTGATTACAATTCATGTAATTAACCCCTAATTGTTGCAAGTCACCTCGGCTCTATCTCTCTCACTCTCGACGGGCTCCAACGCACCTGTATATCGTGTTTTCTTTTCATCTCAGTGGAAAATTCCCTAGCTGCCAGTGTGAATAGTGGTGATAAATGGATAAATAATCGCCTTGTGGATTTATCTGCATGAACCGGATTAAGCAAGTAAGACCGTTACAATTTCTCTAACTGTCGATCAATAAATACTGATTAGTGATTCGCTTGAAATGCACTATAAATTGATGTGATTTCTAACGTTTAATGCAGAAATTTTGGTTTTCTCACTCGTGAAATTAACATTTGTACATTTGTATATAGAAATTGAGCATATAAAAAGACTTTTCTTGCACATATTGTTCACAGATTTCAGCAGAAAAGTGCTCAAATTATTAATTATTCTATTTCAGCGTTTTATTTGTATAAATGAGAATCAAGGCAATAACGATTCAGCATGCGAATTATTACAGAAATGATTCAAAAACAAGAAACTACTCATCTTCAAGCTTCTGGATGTTATTGGACTTGCCAACCGTTCCTGAAGAAAATACAATGAAGCTGAAACAATTATACGACGTCACTAGCGATTGCCTGCAAGCCTTGAAGAATCTTGAGGTAGAAACTGATACATGGGGGCCCATGGTAATTCGCATAATCATCCGGAAATGGGACTATCAAGTCTCATACCAATCACCTCTATGAACAGAGTCTTCAAGCACCGCATGACGTACCAGATTTCGAAGAATTTATGAATTTCTTAGAAAGGAGGTTTCAATCATTAGAAACACACACGTACTGTCACGACCAAAATCATATGACCTATCACTATACCAAAAGTTCGAAGCCATGCCACCACAAGAGAGAGGCAAATGGGTACAGGAGAAGCACATCTGCCATAACTGTTTAAGCTACAATGTTCAGAAGAAAAGCTTCAGCCAAACAAAATGTAATACGGTATCGGCCAAAATAAACAGTACCGAAATCTAGAGCTCTGAGTAATTGCTCACGCAAGTTGCATTTATCATATTTCGCTTACTTGGCATTAGTTATGAGGTTGACATTAGGTTAAGGTAAAAATCTTCTTCATTATGTATCTTTCAACTTCAGAAACAGTTTTCTCAGTAGAGCACTATTTTCGGTCATACGGATTTGGAAGGTAAAAAGGCTTAAGTTTGAAACAAGTCTCAGAAAAATGTCAGCAATCACTCTTAATAAATATTTTGAATGATATGCAGAATCATTATGAAGCTTTTTTGCGTCGCTATGATGCATTTTTTGAACATATACGCATGATACAATAGTTATTTACACTACAAGTGCGTTTATGAGCATGATTACAATAACGAGTGTGAAGGATTAGAACGACGAGGTCGTAGACCGAGTCGTTCTAATCACACGAGTTTTGTAGTCATGTTTAAACGCACGTGTGATGTACAACGTTTTATCTACAAAGCGAAAAATAAGAATATTTTTCCAATTATTTTCGTTCATTAATAGTTGTCTACCCTCATTTTACTTTTACAGGTTTACCTTTGACATTTGTCAAATCACCAAAAATAGTTGTGTAATAGAC